ACAGGTAAGTCTTGTGTTCAAAGATTGAAATTGAAATGTATATTGTATTATTTGAATTTTATTTCACAAATAAATATTTTTAAATATTTACGTTTTTTTTTATAATTCTACCTCTCATACATATATATAGGTAATTTTCAAGTACCTAGAAGTTAGCGATGACAGCTTGGTTGGACAACATTCGACTACATACAGTTTAGGGATCCTCAAACTGAAATCTAGCCTAAACATCGAGATTTCTAAGGTCACGTTTGATTTTTGTTTGCTTTGTGCTTCGAAGGGCACATACTAAAGTCGATGTCCGTAATTCGTCACAGATCTTCGTGTGACGAAATCGCTTTTTTTTTAAATGGTTGAAAATGATCCCTATCTGAAAGCAGGTCAGTCCATTGTGAAGAATTCGACAACAATTAACCACGATGGTTTTCAAGGGGAACCGCGTGGAGATGGACTTGATAAGAGTATATTGCTAGCAATGGAGCTGTTAGAACTCATTACTAACAATTTATTTTCCCCTGATGATAATGGAATGGTAACCCCATTCGCGCTATCGGTATACACCGGCGGGGCACTAGTGAAGGATGATAGGTGAGGATGAAGCAGGTCACCCCATCGTGACGAATTCAACAAGAATTAGTCACGATGGTTTCCAGGGGGAGCCATGTGGAGGTCGACCTAATAGGGCATATTGCTAGCAATGGGGCTGTCAAACTCCATTGCTAACAATTCCTTTCCCCTCGACGAATTTGAATTAGATCCAAGACATCAGAGGGTGATATCCTCACACAAGTAATAGAAATATCTGACATATCTACTGTATTTATGGCTGTCAGGATTGAAAAAGGAATATCTATCAAAAATGGTAAGTGAAAATAAAAAAAAACTGGTCAGTTAGTCCATCGTGATAAACACCTAGAATTCAACGCGGTGGTTTCCGTGGTGGATAACGTGGATGCCGACTTGACGGATATTGCTAGCAATGGAACTGGTAATCCGCATTACTAACAATTCCTCTCCCCCTGGCAGGTCAGTTAGCTTATCAGGATATACCTGGAATTCAGCACGATGGTTTTCAAGGGGACCACGTGGACGACCTGACAGGGGGTTATATATTGCTAGCAATGGAATAAAGGTTTGCGATCCGCACGACGCGTGATACCTATGCCGTGTACTCAATGGCGCTTCTTCGTAAGTAATTTCTGTTCGCTTGTGGTATTGATCTTCGCATATGAGGTCAGCTAAGCTGATGCACGTCGACCCATACGGATCTTTTGTGCTAAAATGTGTATTGATCTTACTCGGCTGATTTCTCGCATCGCGATAGGATTTTAATACGTATATTACATTGCTGTAATTTAGTATTTCATTATAAAATATTATTATTTCTTTATATTATGACATAACATCGTAGATTACATGATTTTAAAGGAAAAATATATATATATATATATATATATATATATATATATATATATATATATATATATATATATATATATATATATATATATTTAATGGATAGTCAGAAAATGGTTAAATTATATATTCGCCTGCGCTTATACAAAATACGCTGGCGATAGCACCAGTCATTTTATTATATCGATGAGAATGAACACAGGTCAGTTAGCTCATCATGATAAATTCATCAAGAATTAACCATGATAGTTTTTAGGGAGAACCGCGAGGAGGTCGACCTGGTTGGGTATATTGCTAGCAGTGGGATTTTTTTTTATGTTATATTCAAGTACAACACAGTTCTAACCATAGTAGTTGCTTTGTTCATACTCTCGCCAAATCGTCATAGTCGTAGAATACTGACGGATCTGACGAAGATTACATATAAAGATCCGTCACTATTCTACGACTATGACGAAATGAGCTTTGAGCTTATATTGTATAAGTGATTGTGTTACTTGTCTATCTTGCTCTAATATGTATTTATGTTTTCTTGTTTTTGACGTCAATTTATATACTTTATAATCAAGGGTACTAAGTATACAGAACAAATTCTGTTTGAGGTGTAGTAGGTTACTCACACTCGATTAAAAATATTTATATAATATTCAAATCGTCTATATATTTATTTAACGGCATGCAGTGTGGGAACATCGAGTGCGGACGTTGTAGGATTTTCCGCAGATAAAATGAAAGTGAAATCAACGGTCTCACCGTTTCCGCGTGAATGCTGCACGCTTGATACGACGTCAGCCTTTGCCCTCGCACGTAATCGTGACGTCTTCTACTGAACTGATGGAACGTCGTGTTTAGAACTACATACATTTACTTTGCTTGTTTAGCAGGACTTATTTATGGATTTATGTGAATTATGGAAGTATATTTACTAGATAAATGTGAAAACAATGTTAATCTTTCATTCCAAGTTAAAAGTTTATCAGTTATTAGATTTGTGTTAATAATTAAAGAATCGATCTCAGATGCTATTTGATTCATAAATAAAACTCGACTTGAAAAGTCATTTAATCAATAATGATTGACCGAATGATTCCCCATTTTGCGTGATAATCATGGAGAAATAGAGTCTCTCTGTTTAATAGTGGTTTAATAGTAATTCATATTAAAAATAAGTTTTTCGCCATGATGCCAGCCTTATCATGACGTTGTCTGAAGTCATTATCTTACCGAACCAGTGCACAGAGGAAATTAGGAAACGATAATGCAAACCATTGGGGGGAGAAGAGATTGTAAGTAAAGAGGATTAGTAGCTCCATTGCTAGCAATATATCCTGTCTGGTCGATCTCACGGTTTCCCATGGAAACCACTGCTAAGTTCTAAGTGAATTCGTTACGAGGGGTTAACTGACCTACCTTTACATCCTCATCTATCATTACTTACTGGTGCCCTGCCAGCTTTTGCGCAGGCGGAGTGACCATATCATTACCATCCATTAAAAAAACCCAAAATCATTGAATTTTGATTTTTAATATAATGAAAACTCAATAGTTTGGGTTTGTTGTTCTATTATAGTCTCAAGTTTCGTTACCCAACATTGTTCGTATATTTGAAATCAATTTATTATTAAAATTTGTCCTGTAATAGATTGATACTGTTGATGCGGCGAAAGATTCGATTTGGGGGGGAGGGATTTTTAGTAGTGGGATTTAGCAGCCCCATTGCAATATACCCACCCTGTCAGATTGACTTCTATGCCATTCGCTTTGGAAACCATCGTAGTAGATTCTTGAATTCGTCATGATGGACTGACTTGCTTTCATTCTCATCTATCTCTCCTACTCCCACTGGTCCCACTGGTGTCCTGCCAGTGTATATCAATAGCGCTGGCGCGGTTAAAATTTTTTTTTCATCCATTAAAAAAAAAAATAGATTCGGCAGTTTCATATGGATTTACGTTTTGAAATTTTCAGCATATATGGATTTATAAAGCTACTAAATTTGCTACCAATAATTTATTACTATTATACTTAGCACAAGCTTTGCCAAATTCGAGGATGCTAGTTACATACTACCACGCTAGCAAGGCGGTTTGGGTAGAAATAGAATAGAATAAGGGGGAAAGTGATTGTTAGCAGTGGAGTTTGACAGCCCCATTGCTAGCAATATGCCCTATTAGGAAAACATCGTGAACAATTCTTGTTGAATTTGTCACGATGGGCTAACTGACCTGCTTTATCCTCACCTATCATCCTTCAATGGTGCCCCGCCGGTGTATACCGATAACGCGGGTGGGGTTACCATTCCATTATCACTCATTATAAAAAATAGAATAGAAATTTATTATTTGACAAAAACACAAAGTTACAAATACAAGATACAATGGGCCCCACACTAGGCGAAGCTGTATCGTGGGTACCCGACAAAGATTAATAAATCACAATTTGTTATAGTAAAAAGTATATAGTGGGCGGGTATTAATATAAATAAAATAAAAGGAATATTAAATTGACATAGTGATCATAGGTGATCAGGCAATCACGGAAAATTGTAACTAGTAAAATGAACAATATAAATACACAAGCAATTATAAAACATTAATAATACCTATATGCCTTTAAATGAAGCGAAGTTGTGCAAATAAATGTGGGTATGTTCGTGAGTATGTGTGAATGTGTGTTGTGTAAAGTATGTGAAAGATTTGTACTGTATGTTATTTTCCAGACAACAGTTTTTCAGTTGACTCGTAGCATAATGATAAAAGATAATTATTTGTGTTTCATAATATGTGAACTAAGACCTATGAGTGGACACACTTTGTTTATTTTATATATATTTTTTTATACATTGTTTATATACATTAATGGATATGCAAATGCACCAAAATGGCGGGCAAAAGAAGATGATAGTAGGAATGTTTAGTTTGAGCCTCCTGAAATGCAATAAGGATGATGGATGAGTCATGTAATATAAAGTGATTACTTTTAAAATAAATAACTGTCGAACCGTGAATATTTTGGCCTCAGAATATAAAGAACGTGTGAGATATTGAAATTTTTTCCTAAGCATTACCTTAAGAACAGATCTTTGAGCACGTTTAAGACGGAGCATGTGGGTTTTTGCAGCACCACCCCATGCGGTACTATTTCGTATTATATTTTTATTGCTCTAGAGTATACTGCTTTTTACCATTGTTACTTCTGATAGGACCATTCGGAAACCGTAGGCATGTGCAAGTATCAGTTTCCGTCTACCCTACAGAAAACTGGAGGAATACGTTCACCATCTCTTATTCTATACTATCATAAGAAAGTTAAAAATTTGCTATAGTTATATTACAATTAAATTGTTTACAATAGTTGTTATTCCATTATAGACACTTCTTAATAAGTATGTGTATGTAATGGAATAATTAGATTATTTCGCCAATTATCTACACCTCGTGCTCTTGTTTAAAAATAGTACGATGGTGAAGCAAATAGCGAGTTCGTCGTGGTCGGTGGTGCAGCGCCTAACGGGTGGGGCGCTGGATTGCTGCGAAGTTTTTGGTGTGGAGAGAAAGTACGCGAGGTGGTGGCCGAAGACCCCAACTCGGCACTCGGGGACTCCGCGCGGCCGCGGCCGACACTCGCCCGCCGATTCATGGGCGATACGTTTGCGAAATAATGCCATTGAATCGTCGCCGAATTCGCCAGTGAACGCGGCGTGTTCGGAGATGCCGCTCAAATAAATAGTGGTGCGGAGCAATAATAACATCGCGCCCGACCCCGGATCCCTACGACAATGTGCAGATGGAGAATAGTGACTATAATTTACGTGGTCGCTGCATTCAAATTGACAAATGGCAGGGAAATAAACTCTGTGGACGTCGCTACGCTCGATAACCATGTGAGTATTTTATTGACGATATTAGCATTAGGTTTACGCTAATAATTGTCGTATGGTAGAATCGATCAGTGCTACAAGCCGGTACATTGACTCATACAAGGTAAACGCACTTTTACTTTCCGATGAACAGATTCGCTTCATAAATTGTTGAATTGACAATAGGTAGGTATACCGGAAAAATTACTATAATACCTACAGGAATAAATTAATCGTAGATTCTAATTAGAAATAATATTTGGAAAAAAATATGTTTATTTAATATAGTAATATATATACATAATTAATATAGTAGACAGGTTAGATTGGATGGCAAATATCCTGAGTGAATAATTAAGGTATAAAAGAAATAATTAATGGGTCTAGGAACTTGGAATTTGATACATTTATAGTCATATGTAATGAACATGAGCAGACTAAAATCTACATACAGCATACTACACGTTCACGAGTATAACAAATAAGTCAGCCACCAGCCAGCCAGTAAGGATTTTTTTTAATGGGTGATAATAGAATGACTAATCCGCCTGCGCTTTTGGTATACACTGGTGGGGTACTAATGAGGGATGATAGACGATGATGAAGCAGGCCAATTGGCCCATAACGACGAACGCAACAATAAATCAACCACGATATTTTTCAGGGGGAATCGCGTGGAAATCGACCTAATGTTATGCCTAACAATTTCTCCCTACAGCCAGTAGGGTTATATGTAGAGAGTTAGGATTTATGTAGCTAAAATTCTCTATGATTAATTACATTATGGTCTACAGAAACGCCTTGCCATCGGTCGAGCCATATATTTACAGGTCTTATATTTGATATTGTACAACTATTATTCAGTTAGTTACTATAAAATATTAAAAAAATATTACTTTTATTAAATATCCATAAATAACTTTTTATTTGTATACTTTTAAACTAAATTTAGTACTACATTCATTTTCATTGCAGGCCCTACTTACATTGATAAGTATTACTAGTTGATAGAGCTTAATTATTATAATACAAGTTTGAAGACGGAAAATAGTTTTAAAGAAAAACGGTGGCTTCATTGATCAAAAAATATGGGATGTAGGAGTAATACTGATTGCAAAAATAATTAATAACGTCAATTTAGAATTTGCGTTAGATTTTGTGTAATATTTATATCCACACACACAAATAAATAAAGACGAATTGATAATCTCTTCCTTTTGAAAGTCGCTTAAAAATATTTGAAATCTCGAATCTAATGAGTATTTATTAATGATCGGGGCTTAACATTTGGATATTAATGATAGATGAGGCGGATCTGCACTGCTTTCGCTGGTTACGTGTCTATATCATTTTTATGTAATATCTGACTATAATGTTTCAAACATTTACCCATTTTTCCTTGTATATAATGCTTGTTTCTTTTGATTGTGAAAAATAACAAAGTCAGTACATTAGTGTACTGTGCAGTATAATGTACCCTTTTTCGGCATCAGTAAAAATTTTGGACAGAGGTGCCAGATACAATGCCCTGTTGATAAAAGCAGGTATAGACTGTTACAGTCAGATATTTCGCTACATAAGTACGAGTCCGTACATGCATTGAACTCCATTGTATTACAAAATGGTACACATAAATTGATTTATACGTATACATTCTGAATATATAGTAGATGTGCAACATATATTTAAGTAATATCGAATTTGAGACTATATGTAGAAAAAATGTCAAGATTAGATGATTATAATAAGATAAATACATTATTTTATGTATTGATATATTGGTGGTAGTGCAGTTAAAAGGGCTTTAGGGCGTTTAGAGGAGTGTCGATTGTTGTCAGATTCCTATTTTTTATATCATTGAGGTGGCAATCAAGCATACGACCCACCTGATGGTAAGTGGTCTTTGTGTTAATATTCATAATATACATAATATTCACTAGAAATCTACATGAATGCAGCATAAAATATTTGTGGTGCACTTAATCTGCCAACAACTTAAAAAGGTTTTAGTACATACTTATACATATATACCTAACTTTAAAATGTTTACGATGTTTTTGTGAGACTTTTATAGAGAGAATATTTTTAGTTCTTCTATATCTTTTGTGTTATATTTTTTATTGAAATTGAATTTACTCATAGTTCCTTATATAAACCGTTTTATGTAGAACAAAAATTATGCCAAAAATATGCTCATGTCTGTAAATAATCCCTAATGATGGGAAAGTTGACATGCCCATATTTCGCCGAATATAATAGAATCTATCATATATATATTATAATATTATTTTATTTCTATCATCAGTTAATTGGAATTTAAAATTGACAAAGAGGTTCTCGGTCGACCAGATTCGAATTCACGTTCTTTGCGGTCTATAAGTCAGAGTAACATTATAACTAGTCTAGTTAGGATAAGATGCGCTCTTAAATTATTATTATAATTTGCAGATAATAATATATAAACTTTGAAATTGTCAATTTATATCAACAGGATTTACTATCACTATTTGATATTTTGGAAACGTTTTTGCATCTGAAATGCAACAATTTCCGCGTTGGCGCCATCGCTACTGCGTTACTTTCTTATACTCTGATAAACGACCACGGGGAACAAAACGAGAGCACAACAATTACTTCGTGAAAGGCACCTCGAAATCATACTTTGGAAAGTAGTTTACTTTGCTGACATTATGAATTTGGAGTCATAATAGACGCTTACACAATAGAAAAAAAAAAAAAAGCTAAATCTAAGTTCAGTATGATATACGATAAATTAATTAGCTCTATTTGTTTATTGCCGGCTATTAAGAGGAAACTAAGATTAACCTAATTTGTTTGTGACTGTGTAATATCATTGTGTATTTCCATTAATTGTTAAGAAATTAAACGAATGGAAACTATATCAGTAACACTAATTTTAAAGTATTACGTTTAATATATAGGTATTATTAATATCTACATGTTTTGTTGGGTCTTGCATACGATTTATTTAAAAGTAAAATATATGAGAATTTTACTTGACATATAGATTAGATTGTACTAACTAGTCTTGTTCACGCTCATACTGAATCCATTAAAAAGTTCTAACGCTGTTTCATATCATCAGTTTAAAAGTGTATGGATACCGAAAGAGCGATTTTATTATGTCACTATTGTGCGGGTGGATAGATATGATGAACATATAGATATGTTGTAATGCTTTAAATTGTCTATTCTGTGTGGAGCCTTATGCTGCTATGTTAATGGACATCAGTCACAGCCATTTCTGGTCATGAGAATTTGAGCTTTTTTATGGGTGAAGATGGAATGGTAACCCTGCCTGTACTATCGGTATACGCTGGTAGGGTACCAGTGAAGGGTGACAAGTGAGGATGAAAGCAGGCCAGTTGGCTCACAGAAATTAATGGAACAAGAATTAGCCACTATGGTTTCCAGGGGGAACCAGGTCGACCTGATAGGGTATATTGCTAGTAATGGGGTTGTTAAATCTCATTATTAACTTCTCCCCGAGAATTTGAGCTGTTATGAAACAGAAAAAACAGAGCGGAGCGGGGGTGGGACGACAATGAAAACTCGCTCCTTCTTTACTGCCGAAAATAGGAACAGCGCGAATCATTGATAGTAGCATTGAAATTTTGCGAGAATGAAATGGTAAACCCGCTCGCGCTATCGGTATATGCTTTTTTTAATGGATGATAATGGAGTGTTAACCCAGCGTGCGCTAATGGTATAAGCTGGCGCTGCACCAGTGAGGGATGATAGATGAGAATAAAAAACGTAGATCAGTTAGTCCATCGTGATGAATTCCAATACACTTGGAATTCAGCACGATGGTTTGTAGTGAGGACCACGTAGAGATCGATACTCCCTATCGATATTGTTAGCAATGGGACTGTTAGACGTCAGTTAGATATCACGTTACAAGAGGCATAGTCAAAGTATAAAATAATTTGAATTTTAAAATAAATCGAAAATTTGTCTGAAGGGAGGAAAAGTAAAAAAAAAAAATATTATTCGGTTTGACATACTCATTACTAGCACTATTTATATAAGCACATAGATAGGGTGGGCGACGCAGCAGCGTTCCTCTTCAAATATCTCCAAAGCCTAATTGTGGTTTGCCAATCCGCCTGCTAAACGTGGCAACGTCTGGCAAAACTCCCTTTATGGAGGAGGTCTATTTTCAGCAGTGGATAGATAACGGCTGATATGATGATGATGATACATTATTATATTGTTTTAAGTTTTGTTAACAAATCGGTAGACACAGACATTGAACTTCGGTGACGATCAAAGTTGTTACAGTCAGGGTCAGCGAGTTGCTAAACCAATCCTCTGATAACTGGGTCACGGTATTAATTCTTTCAGTTTCAGATGTGTCCTATGTTTTGTAGAATCCACCTACTTTTTTTTTACCGACTATCTGTTAACCTTCATCTTTAATTAAAGGTTTTTCTTTTGTTAACGATATTTAATTGATACTGAATATTAAATTCAACTTGAAGTTTTTGTACCTACTTACATCCAAAAGTGTAAAAACTTTGTCAAGTTTCAAGTTTCTCAATAGGTCACTTCTTTTATGTTGTGTAACATGTGTTTATGTTTCGTAACTTGATAAAATTTAATAGTATGTATTTAGGGCGACAAACATTTACCAGAATAGTCATATGTGACAATACGTTTCATATTTTGATTTTTTTTTGTAAAATCGGCTAACTTTCGTCACTCTCAACTAATAACGCACGTGTTCAGGTTAGTGTGCATATACTGTGACAACCTTAGCCTCATTAGAACTATTGTGTTATACATAATTGTTATCTAAGAAGTGACGAGCTAATATTTCGTCACAGCGCGTTACGTGAGTCGGTCACACGAGTGAAAGTGCATGAATATTGCATATCTGTTCATAGCGTAGTCAGCCACAGACTGTTCTTATCATATAAGGTAGTTCTCTTACCGAAGATGGCTTAACAAACTAATAGCTTAACAAACTAAATATTGCATACTATACAATTTACGAAAACCTTGGTAATGTACCAGTTTAACATATTGTCTAATATGAAAGTCAAGGGTTCGATCCCAGTACGATACATAAAATTTGTATTCATGAGTATGCCTGTTTGTATAGGTCTGTTTTCTAAGTATATATATGTGTTTATAAAAAAAGTACTTAAGTATGACTGTCAGTTGTTTAGCACCCATAGCAGTGGTACTTTCCTGCCTAAAATATGCAAATCCGACGACATTGTACTCGTACGAGTATATCGTAACCTTGACCTAATGCTGCAACCAGGACAGTCTATAGACTAATCAATTCCTTGAAAGTCCATAACTAGTGTCTTATTTAGGCTCATTGTATGGTAAGCTGCTTATAGATAGAGATCACAGCTAATAATGAAATAGGAAGAATGTACATTTAATTGTATAATTTGATACCTATATTATTATAGTTTCGAGAGTTTACTATATCCAGATATTTGACATCTAATAGTAGAGCAGGATGCGGTTGGTGACAGAATATCAGATACAAGTATACTTTTAAAACTTTAGGTCATAACTCCTTTTCGTTCATTACCAAATTCTTAATTTGTTTTCAATAGAATAAGGAAAAAGCATTGGAAATTGAAATTTCGTACCAATTCTTGAGTATTTTTTTCTATTTAACCTTCTTGTGTGTGACTATTGGACACTTTTAAATCTATCTTTTAAATTCCAACTTTTCCTTTATTCTCTATTTGTTCCATTCTTATGTAAAATTGCTTGGTATTTCTCTGGTTAGACCCAATTATTGTTTTTCGCATCACTTTTGTCTAGTTTGGCTGAGTTGGGAACTAGGAAATTGTCTTTAAATATATTATGAAATATTTCGTTTATATTTTAGTAAAAATTGCAATTAATAAAATAATTATTGTTTTGGTTATATAACAATCTTGCGATTTGTGGAATGCGATAAATTATTTATGGTACATACTATATGTAGATAGAATCTACTTTTCTTCAGTTCTATTTTTATATACTTGTCGACGGAGATAATATTATGTAATTTAATATAACTGTTAGATACCTACAGTACTTTAATCACCTTCAACAGAATTTGACAAAAGGAAAACATCCATGTACAATTAGGTACGTTTGTTACAAAACGTGAATTTCTTGAGGAAACGAGAAAGTACAAGAATTAAGGTAAATAAAACGAAATGAATAGCAGAACGGAGCACCTTTATTAAGATTGTGAAAGTAACATTGACATTACAGCCCAATTAACTCCGGGGCCATTGCGTAATCCCAACGAATGCACGTACACCGCGAAAGTGAAGTGCCGTTGCTGTAGCGTTACCAGCTTTATGCGGTAAACAAAACTTATGTAAGTGCATTTCCGACAGAAAACGTTAGATTAGCTGTGACGTGTTGGAGGCCAATACGTATCGCCCGATTAAAGCTTTATCCACAGAATTATTGACACACTTGCCGTGTTGTGTTATGTAAATATATCTAAACCATTACATTTTTTTTGTTGCGTAATATTATGGCATTTGAATTTAAATATTTTACTCTCGTATTTTGGACAGAGAGTGGCAATGTCATCATAGATAGCCTTCTTGTTTCTTGTATAATTTTCCGTATGTATTTCAATTCTTAACTGAGAGATTTCCACCTAACTGGTTATATTACAATATACGAACGAAGAAAGTTAAATAGAATCTTATTAAAAAAAAAAAACTCACTTTAAAAAATAATTGCTTTGCGGTTAATCCTTTAAGAAATTAGGAATCATCATACTGACAATAACTTCTGAACTATTTCCTCATATTACAGGTAAGACCAAATAACAGATCACAACGCTTTTTGTTCGACGCAATATTTGGTTTGGAAGTGCCGATCCTGGATGAGCAGAGTGTAGAAGATGATGAGGAAGATACACAGGTCAAGAACTGTTCTTGTGGCGAGTATTCAATTACATTTATTGTTATGCCGTTGACAAATACTGAAATTAATTTAAAGGTGAAAATTTATAAACAGAATATCCAATTTGTTCACTTCATATAAATATATCCATGTAGTTATTCCTCCTTTCTTAGAGGTTGTGCCCCTCTTAAAGGATTATTTGGTGTTGTATTATGATTAAGCCTGTCTGATATGTTCGATCCGTTTTGGGCCATTTCGAAAGCATTTACGATTCGATGTATTCACTAATACTGTGCGTATATCTACAAATTAATGTGAAGATTATCACATTTGACAGTTTTTTAAAGACGTTTTGTGCTTCTATAGAAGTAATTGTGAGTTTTTAATTATATTTTTGGTGATTTCTAATTTTCTTTATATTTTAGTCATTTCGATCTTTAAAATCTTGTAATTTTGGAAAGTAGAGCTCTTGATAATGTTAAAGTTACATGAGTCTGTGAGCTCCAACATATTTTTTAATATATAACTGAATTTAGTTTTTCAGATTGTTTTTTTATGGATACTTTTGTCATGCATGTTTAAAAATTTACATAGATATAGATAATTGAAATAAGAAAATAAATCATTGAATGTAAACATACTTTCACTGTATTCTATAAACAAAGCCGAAGAAATTGTGGAAAATTTAAATGACTATTCATTGAAAATCTTTTATTTACTTTAAACTTTATTGTAGATATGTAAACCTATTGATCTATTCTTGTCTTCTTTATTTTTACAAGTCTATGTAATTAGTTTTCTAATTTCTATCTATTTTAAATATTTGTTATTCACGTTCACATTTTAGAGTGCGGCAGAGCAAACCCAATTCCTAGAAAGATGGGTAAGTTAAATGTTTTGCACCGTAGAGTATCCGCACCTAAATTTATAGTAATATGTATGCACCAAATTTGTGTATCCAGTTGTTAATCTAAAATTTACATAATTAAATTAATATATTGCAGTGTCTAACTTCACAAAATATTTAGAACACGTGTACCTACGTCGTACTTGATGGGTTATGAGCATGTATATACCTAAGTTATTTATTTTTTTATTTGCTGTATGTAATGCTAATTAATTATTATATTTATAAAATATAAATTTATAAAATAAATTGTATTTTGCATGTTGTAGATAGAATTATTATGAATAATTATCACAGATAGGTAGATATTTGTTCTGTATCCATTATGGATGATAAGTATCTCCAAATGCCCTTTGCATGGATTTTTGCGTAAATTTATTCCATAATAGTTACAAAATAGTCAATTTGACGTAAGTTAAATTTTATAAAATATATAACTAAAAAACAAAAGATTTTTAGATGTCGAATTACATACTCGTAAATTATTAATTAATAAATATTTAATACTCGTTTGCCTCTTTTATTATAAAAAATGAAAAACTATGTGTAGAAGATACTTTTATAATACCTACTCATTTCCTTAGCATTGTTCGTTTTCTTTAACGCTGTAATCTTATATCAATCACCGACAATTTGTCTCGCTTTAGGTGGGAAACTCACGGAAAATAACTCTGCCTTGTAAAAACTTGTGCATTGAACTATGGAAATGATAGTGAAAGTGTATAGATGTCGCTCTTGATTGCCGCTTGTACATCTTGTAACATTCAAGCCGCTTGTTTGCACACTTACTTTTATCTGTATGAATCTACTGAGTCCATTACGTATAATTGTATTAAACTTGTTTCTAAAATTTGGTAATATTAGATAATAATAGTTCAAAATCAACAATTCTACATTGTTCTTAGATTTCACCGTTCATATACTCTGTATACAGAACTTGAGAAATTTTAGATTTCAGAATCCATTTTTGAAAATGTCAACGAGACATACTTAATTGAATAAATAAATTATTCTTTTTTCTTTTTATCTACTTATATAATGTATCTTGAAAGTGAAAGTATGTGCGGTTGACTGTCCGTCTGTAGGTAATGTTTCATCGTCGGGAGTTCAAAGGCAAACTAACACATTTGGCAAAACTCAACTAGAGCTATTATATTTACGATATAATTAAAAGTACATATTTTGTATATTTATGTAGCTAGCTTTAATTATTTATTAGTAGTATAGTATAATAGATATTCGGAAAATTAACACCTTATTTATAAATGGGTAGATATTTTAAAAAACATCATAACTTTATAAAATTTTCATCACGCGCGCGTAACCTCTTTCAGGCGTTCAAATAGACAATAGGTGGGCCGTTTTTTTGCCACCTCAGTGGTATAAAAAAAAAAATAATATTTTTTGACAAAAAATAATTTAAAACAAAAAAAAATATTTTCTCCACAAAATTTACAGAAAAATACAGTTACATGAAAAAAAAGTATTGCTTTTATAATACATACTCATTGTATAAAATACAATCGAATTGGAAATCTCTCCTTCTTTTTTGATGTAGATCATTGCTCTGTAAAATGAACCCTATTAATTTTTTGATTTTCATTTTGCAAGGGGAAAATTCAAACTGCTAATAGATATTACGTGTACGTCTTAACGGAGAGTCAATTAACCTGTTAATACGAGTAGCAGCCGAGTTTCCACTTCCTTCCGTATAGTTCATTAAACTTACTTTCTCGGATTGGCAGAGTGCGGAGGGGCGAACCAGGAGAACCGCATTGTGGGCGGTTTGCCGGCCAGCCTCAACCGGTACCCGTGGATGGCGAGGATCGTGTACGATGGACAGTTCCATTGCGGCGCGTCGCTGCTCACCAAGGATTATGTGCTTACTGCCGCGCATTGTGTAAAAAAGTAAGTTGTGTTTGATAAATTATGCAAATTTATTACTCGGTTGTTAGTTTTTTTTTTCTATATCTTATCAATCAAACATAATTATGGTTCATCCGATGTAGTTACCGTAGTTTACGTACACATACAGTATAAGAATATTATGAGTGTGTTACTGATCCTCGTAATAAATCGATTCGTCATTATGTTCTTCTAATTTAATTTGATGTTTTCCTTTTCTATTGGTATTCGTTACTTCTTTGCAAGTAATACTTTACATAGTTTTGTAGTACCTATCAATGGCTGATTGTTACGATGTCAGACACTTCGATGCATAATGTACTAGAAATACTTCATACAACTTGCCTGATGGATATATATGTCCCAGTAGCATATTTTTATCGCCAAAAAGCTATGTTTGTATGGCTGAGTTTTTATTTAAAAAGTGGTGGGATATGGCAGCAAAACTACAGGGTCTGGAGTCATAATATCAAAGTCCTCAGAAATTGCAAGGCGTGAGGGTTATTACATGCCATATAGTGTATTCTGAGCTATATATGTATGTTGCTCTTTAATTCTATAGGCGATGGTTACCATTTTACATCAGATGGATTATCAGTTTATTTGTCATTTCAAGTTGCATAAAAAATAATGTAATTGTACATAATTTGTTGTTATAGTTAGAAGATGTTTTGATGATTTTCAAATGCTAGATTATTATTTTTATAAATTGATCAAATTGATTTAATCTTTTTTTATGTTTACACACTAAAACCTACTGTTTACGATCTACACAGTTAATAATAATAAAAAAAAATACTAGAAGGTTTTTGTTCTAGATACACGCAACGTTAGGCGGTTGAATAACTCATTATTCTAAGCACTTGACAATGATAACGATGTAGTGCACTAGTAAACTAAATGACGATTGCAGTAGCTAAGTAGTTCACCACTTATCTCGTCTTATACCGTCTCTAGGCGGTATTTTGTAATTTCGTTATATCAATTAAATGATTTCTTTTTATAGAGTTATTTATTCGAAATGGAAAATCAATATTGTCTATTAAATCCATCGTATATCCTATCGTAATGAAGTGCCTATTATATCATTATCTAGAATGTTCAAGATTTTCCAAATATGCACAAGAGATTATTTTACTAATTTTTCTTACCTATCTAATTTTATTTTAAATACACAATCGATTTAATAGCCTTTACAGGTAAATAATACCTACATACCTGCTTCTTTATTACCGACGTGGATTGCACCACGTCGTGGTCACGACGCAAGGTAAAGAAGCAGGTATGTAGGTACTATTTACCTGTAAAGGCTTTTAAATCACGTTAAGTCCCAATTGTGTTTTTGAAATATGAGTAAACAACACGAAAGTTTTAAATTAACTATCTAGTTTTAATCTATTGCGAATAAATCGTCGTCGTAAAAGATACTCGTTATAAATATAAGGGGTGTCTTGGACAATTAGGGTACATAATGTATTTTGTAGTTATGGAAACTAAGAAATTTATTTATTAAAGTAATTGAGTGTATAATTATGTCTCTAGTGAAAGCGATTGGTTTGTTTCTTTTTTACACTAATAGAATTAAAATAAGCATTGCTGCTCCTCGGTAGATATAGGAAACAGTATTCTTATTTACTCTTCTACCTAGATGAGTCCCTATAACTGTTATTTAATAAGTAAAGTACAAGTACTCTTAGGTCTTGCATGTCGTTTACAAAGATTTAAGTACATATCCTTACTTTTACCTTTAGTACAGAATTGTGACGTAACGTTTCATGAAAGTAAAACTATAAAATATCCGTTTGTTTAAGACTTCCACTATTTATCACTGGCACGCGATATTGCATTCGTGTTCATTTCTATCACGAATATTTAGTATTTTAATGCAAATGTGCTTGTTGTTCCGGTTAACGGTAGGTCAGGTACGTTATAAAAAAATATTACAAGAGATTCAATTCAAAACATTATATTATGAATGTTTTTTGCTGTTTTACGTAATGTTAATTTATGGCTAATGCAGTAAGTATTAGTGTATGCATTAGTCATCAATGTTTCAACATAATTAAAATAGAATTTAAGTAATAGTCGTCATCTATTTAGATGAGCATTATGTGAAACTAAAAGTTTTTTTTATATATGACGGATAGTTATTTAATAAGAGATTTGATAGCAGACTAAAATGGTAATGGTAAATTTTAAGTTTGATATTTTATTTGAAATTTAGGCGAATTTAGAATGACGGTTCTGGATTTTTTCGAATAAATAAGTATCTAATTAATGTCTATAAAAATATTTTAGTGACAATGAACCGGTTATAACTAAAATCACATGATACAAAATTTAACACGTTCATTCCAGATTGAAGAAGTCAAAAATTCGAGTGATCCTCGGCGACCACGATCAGAGTATAACTTCTGAGAGTCCAGCCATTATGCGAGCCGTAGTGCAGGTGGTCAGGCATCGTGGTTTCGATGCAGACACATACAACAACGATATCGCTCTACTCAGGTTACGGAAGCCGGTGAACTTCTCGAGGATCATTAACCCAGTCTGTTTACCATCAGCAGGCAAGTATAATAGTTTGATTTTAAATATAATTTTAACTTAATTCGTCCGTTAGTAGGGTCTAGAAGTTTGTTCGTTAGCCGAGTTTTTTTTATACAACTTAGAATGGCAAACAAGCTGACGGCCCACCTGATGGAAAGTGGTAACCGTCGCCTATAGACATGAGCAGTACCATGGACATAACAGAGTGTATACTCTGTTATGTCCATGGTGAAACAGTATTGTTTCACCCATGATACCCCCATGCGTTGCCATTCCTGAGGACTCAGATGTTATTCCTCTGTACCCTGTAAATTCACGCCATATCCCATTCTTCAAACCGAAACATAGCCATGCAAACACAACTACTTCACAGTAGAAACACGAATGGGACAGAGGTAGCCAAGCAATCGACTTTTGTACGAATTCTCCCTCTAGTTGGCTTTTGTCGAGTTTTTCCTGATTAAACATTTAGAATTTCCCAAAATTCCGACATTAATGTGAGACAGCGGGTTTTGGTGAACAAGCCGTGGAATACGGATTAGAACAACCGGTGCACCTATTCACGCATACTGAGTGTGTTTCCTATTAAGCCACGGCAGGATTAAAAGTAGTATTCCTGCCGTCATTAAACACGTGACAAAAAATTTTACTAATGTTTCATTTTAGATAACATGCTTATTATTGATACAGTGGTTTAGTATATACTAGTTTTACCTGCGATTTCATCCGTGTGAACGGGATATTCACTGACTGGAATAAAAATTATCCTATTACCTTCTCTATACCATATAGTACGTGTATACCATATTTTATAGTGATTTGTTAAGTCGTTAAGGCGTTTTAAAGAAATATACAAATTCATCGTCACATTTATTTTATTAGTAACAATAGTAGTAGTTGGTAGCAGAACATGCTCTATTTACAAATTATACTTTGTTACCATTGGAGAACTATTAAATATTGAATTAGTGGTGAATAAAAACGATTGGGCTGTTTTAATATATTGTTGGAATACAGGCATCGATCCCGCGGGGAAGGATGGCGTTGCGGTGGGCTGGGGACGTACTTCTGAAGGAGGGCAGCTGCCGGGAGTCGTACAAGAAGTACGAGTGCCAATATTGAATTTAACGCAATGTCGAAAAACGAAATATAGAGCCGCAAGAATTACTAGTAATATGGTGAGTAGAAATATTTTCACATTAATTGTATCTCAAAAAAAGTTTAGTAGGTACATTTATAATGCAGGTGATATTTTTGATAGTGGTTTATATCAATACTTTACGCAATATTACACTTGTAGTGTGTTGTATGAGTATATTTATGAGTATGTTTATGCTATTATTATGATTCATGTTATTTTATAAGAACTATACCTCAAGTAAAAATAAATATGCTTACGACTAATAGGTACTGAAATGATCAGAGGTATTTTTTTTCTGTTTTGATACGACACGTTCATTTTGACTACTAAGGGTATTAGTTGTCGACTAAATACACACAGGTGTGTTTATTGGTCGACTATGACGTTGTTGTTTTGCTGTTATGGGGAACGTAATTGAATTGGAGTGAGTCTCTTGTCACTTGGATTAATTTATTTTGTTCATAGTTTTTCTCACAGAGTTTTATTTTAAATGCCATGCAAAGTTTTTTGTATCAGCTAACTCATGGTTTTTAGAGATTTCGATTCAGGCTATCAAAAAAAAATATTATAAGAATACCATATAATATATCAGATGTAAACAACTATGTATCTATCAGTTGTAATTGGAAGTATTTAAAAACTTTACCGTAGATAAAAAAATAACACCGTATATTTTAATTTTTGTATTCTTACAGATATGTGCCGGGCGGGCGGGGACTGATTCATGCCAGGGAGACAGTGGCGGGCCATTGCTAATACAAAATGGGGGCAAGTTCCAGATCGTAGGTGAGTATGACTTTGTATTTCATATTAATAACAAATTCCTTCCCAAGGAGGATTGATGTCAGGCTGGCGGCCAGTCGTAAAACCAAAAGCCAAAATCTTGTATAATACGCCGATCCCAAATAAATAGGATAAGGGCAGGAAGGTAATGATGATTAGAGTAAAGGGTGTTATATATACCTATAACTACTCATTTTTTACAAATGAATTTGAATATAACCATAGACTAGACAGTGGACGCTTTAGACGACGTTGGTAGTGTAGAGTTTAACATGCCGCCTTACCTTTTGATGGTCCCAAGTTCGATATAGGCACAATACAAAGTACAAAGAATTGAAGTCATGATTGTCTATTTGTATTATTCTGGACATTTTCTATGTATAATATGTATTTATAAAAAACATATTTGAGTATTCCTAGCAGTTGTCTAGGACTTATAGCACAAGGTCTGCTCAATTGGGAGTATATGGCACTGTGTATATATTCCCAGTAGTATTTATTATTATTTTTGTTCGTAAAATTGTTTCTCTAAATATAAGATATATACTTAATGATAAACAGAAATTTATTGTAATTTTTTTTTCAGGCATTGTATCGTGGGGTGTTGGTTGCGGTCGGCCTGGGTACCCAGGAGTTTATACTCGAGTACCGCGATATTTAAAGTGGATCAAAGCTAACCTTAACAACAGCTGCCTGTGTGGAAATTGAAATACTCTTAAATAACATTATGAATTTAATAAATATTTATCAAATATTCAAAATAATTTACATTAACAAATTGCCAAATCGAAACGTTTGTTAAACTCTAATTAACAGAAATGCAAGCCCTTTGGAGCAATAAGTATAACAAGATGGCGTTATTTACGTATGCTCCTGAAGATGATTAAATATTAACATAAACATTTTATAGAACAATTGCCGTAGGTAGATTCTTGCTTACTTTATTGTCAGAATACTAATTTATCTTACATTAAAAAATGCCATCGAATCACGTTGCTAGCAATAGCAACATGGAGTATGTACCTAAATATCTTTCAAATTAAGCAACGTTGAATACAAAATAGTTGTTGAATAAAACCATTAATATGGTTACTTTTCAATATACGTACATGCTTTATATAGGCAAGTTTTATTTTGTATATATAGGCATAATGTTATGTTTGTATAGAATATCATTAATATCATATAGTAAGTTTACACACCGAGTTATCGAATAATTTATTTGTAGTTTGTAAATGTAAAAATAGACGCGGAATCTCAATGGTGCCAAGTCAAAATGTGTCATAAAGTACCACGTACCACCATGACTTTAAAACTTTTTGTAGGTACTAATATAGCGTCATAGTATACCTCTTTCATTAGCTTTTCTGACATATATTTGTCATCTTTATCGTTTACAATAGTTTACTAATACATTGATCTTTGTCTAACTGTATTTACAAGTACATATCGTGATAGGAATCTATAGTTTCTTGAGGACCTACCATGAAATATTTTCCGAAATTTCGGGGACGAACGAAATAGAAATTGGATGTTAAAATAACATAATACATGGCGCTTAAAATTATTAAAAATATTAAGATATCGTTTCTGTGGACTATTAGGATAGGATTTATAATGAACGAAACGTTAAGCTTCATTTACTGGGTCGATTTAGGTAGGAACAAAAGCACGAAATTGAGCCCAAAAATTTGGAATTTCATTTCATGGTAGGCCTCCTGGTTTACTAGACGGTCTAGGTTAAAATATAAAAATACTCATTTTATATTTAGATCTCCACAGACTGCTATAGAAAACGGACAATTGACCATAAAGAACGATAGTATTCTTTTCTAAAAAGACGATTCTTTTAAATTAACTACCGCTAATTTAAAAAACTGCATATCAGCTAATCCTTTCTAATGAAAATCTATTCGATAAAATACTAAATGGCTTTGTAACAGAGTTTTTAATACGTTTATGTTATTACTGATATAGCGAGTTGTAAAACAATTCGCTAATAGAATAAGCATATTTTTTAACGTATTGTTAAGTTCGTGTATAATTTTTAAAGATTAAATCATCGAATTAAATTTTAGAATCTATGAGAATATATATGTAAAAATTAAATAAATATTGATTCGTTTTATATATGTAATCTCTTGTACATGAACCGATTTTACATTTATGTACATTTATTAATTAATAAATTTAATTTAAATAATTTAACATGTTTCAAAATTTACATTATTTTAATTTTCATCAAATAAGTCGTATTGTTAATAATCACAGTAACAATTATTTAATTATGTAAATAAGTATCTACATAAATTGATTACACTGTCTCATTAATAATTTATTTCATTTAGTTATCATTTGAAGCAATATATGGGCGGAACTTTTAATCCACTACTACAAAAGAATTGTGTTAAAAATTGAGGTACCTTTATGCTAATTTTGTAACTGAAATTAATAACATATTTTTTATCTTACAATTGTTATAATTATCCATATAACCTGTATTGATTATTGACAATAATTTAATACAGTTTTTAGACAAAATTGATTTTATGAACAAAGTTTGTTCCAAGTACCCAATATGTATATTTTAATAGTTTTTTTATTGGTCATGAATTACTTTTTTTGTAGTTTACAATCCTTCGCCTATGTTGCTTTAAGATTTCGATTCATTAATATATTGATAAGTAAGTTAGTACGTTACTTCGGTCAGGCCGGTGGTGCAGATTACCATTAGTATTTAAGTAATTTGTTGTCAACTACCTAAGTGTTCAATATGATTTATTTGTACATAACATTATTAATACATAAAATTATTAATAGTAACATTATTAATAGTAGTAATAAGTTTTTATTATCTAACAAAACCGTTATACAGAATTTAAAAATTACATTTTTCGTCCAAAAATGCTTAAACAAAATTTTGGTCTTTGCAAAAGTGCACTTTGAAAATAATTTCAGATCTAAGATCTAATTAAATTTAGTGCAAACAATTTTTTCATATGGCAATTCCTTCTTGTTTAAAATAAAAAAAAAAAAATAACAGTATTATGACTAGGCTGTATGGGCCATGTTCCTTGCCTGTCCATTTTGGACGAATTTTAAAACAAACAACAATTAATAGAATTATTTATGGTATTTACGAAAAAATTTGCCGCGGAACCGCGTTTGTTATCAAAATAGCTTTTAACATTCAGTTTTTTTTATATGTGTAAGTTGTCTGCCTCCTTTTATATCAGTTTATCTGCTTACTTCCGTTGTTATGTAAAATGACACAGTATAAATGTTTACAATATAAACACGCTTAAAACTTATAGCTTAATTACTATTTTAATTTAAAATCTATTAACCTGATAAATTAATAATCTATTGGGTTAATAATTATTATTTTTCTACGCTGAAATAGTTACATCCAAAGGCAGATATTGCACAACATATGAATACCTACTTGTATTTATAAAATGCATGGGTATTTCTGTACCTATTGTTAACATACTAAAACGAATGTGTTTTAAATTTTAATAGTATTATTGAATATTTTTTATTTATGATTAGATTAGATATTTGGCAATATACTAATTATGAATTAATGTAGGTAGAAATACTATTAAAATATTAAATTCATATTTCAATAACTATTAAGCGATTGAAAGATTTTGGCAGGCGGGACTTGAACCCATACTTTCTATGCCATTCCAGGGCACAGTGCACTTGTCTTGTCTGCTTCACTGGCCATCAGGTAATTATTGAAATATTATTTTTATATTTTAATTATATTTCTAATTTATTATAGTTTTAAGAACAAATCAACGCTCTTTAGGCTACATCTGTGATCGCTGTCACGATAAAATATTACGCTATTTGGCGGAAATTTATTGCTTTGTTATTTATTTGTATACGTTGTTGTGTAAAATTTATAGCTAATAGATTTTATTGCTATCATAATTCATTTACCTACTTAAGTATAGATGTTAAGGAAATATTTTTATTATTTTATTGTTATTTAATTGTATTGATGATTTTATGGTGCTCTAATTTATTAACTTTTTTAATAAAATAATATATTTTTATTCATGTTGTCTTTAATTTATCTATTTTATTTACTTACAATTTTTAGGCTTTCTTTTTCATGTGATGGAAAGTGGTAACCATCGTCTATAGACGTCACAGTGTTATACTTTGAATATCGCAGAATATACTGTGGCTTTTATGGTATTTTTTATATGCTTCCACTACTGACAAAGGCAAATGAGGTGTATGACGACCCCCTATTAGATGAAACGCATTAAAGGGAGTCAATAGATGCACGTGGCTCAAGACCTTTCCTTATGATAGTCTATGGGAGGCTTATGTTTAGCAGTAGATAGTTAACGGCTGATATGATGATGATGATGATGATGATCATTCCTGAGGAGTAAGCTTATGTTTATGTAGCTGTTTCTGTAATTTCACTTGTACTTGAGAATCTGAGTGTCTCAAGTTGTTGAATATGACGTCTGACGAGGTTTACTAGTTCTAGCGTCGCATAGAAGTGTGATGTTAGTTCTAAGAAATGTGATATGCTTTAGTTTGATGTTTAAATTATTCTTAGTCTTCGGACTATATATGAGTAAATAATTCAGATAACATTCCATGTGTGCCCCGGCATAGAATGGGCCACCCCTTCATTTCCCGAGGGTGTCGTAAGAGACGACTAAGGAAGGGCGAGGCATGGGCGGTAGCGCCCCTCATAAAACATCTCTAAAAGTCTAATTGCGGTTGCCAACGCGCCTGCCAAGCGTGGCAACTACTGGCGAAACTCCCTTTATGGGAAGACTGAAATAATAAAAGATAACATTCAACTAGAGGGAATCTGTATGCAAAAGTTGTCTGTATGGGTAAGTATCCCTTGCTCCATTCATGTTGCTGCCTTCACGGCTGTTGTTTTTTTTTAATGTATGAAAATGAAATAGTAACCCCGCCTGTGGTATCGGTATATACTGGCGGGGCACCCGTGAGACATGATAAGTGAGGGTGAAAGCAGATTATTAGCTAATCATGCTGATTTCGATAAGAATTAATCATAATGGTTTCCAGGTGGAACCACGTGGAGGTCGATCCGATTGGATATTTTACTAGCAATGGAGCTGTTAAACTGCATCACTGATATACTCCTTCCCCTTTACATGGCTGTGTTTTGGTTTGAAGGGCAATGAAATTTTAGGGTACAGAAGCATAACACTGTAGTCTTCAGGCATGGTAAATCATGAAGGATACCATGGCCATCACAGGATACTGTGATGATTACCGTTTTCCATAAGGTGGGCAGTCAGCTTGTTTGCCATTTTAAGTATTATAAAAAAGATACAAAATTTCCAGTCGTATGACTATTTTTAATCTTTTAAAAATATTCTATTTCAAGTGGTGTGTACTAAATTTTATTGAACAAATTGTATTATTCTTTATACTTTAAGTGTTACTGTTTCTTTTTTTTATTATATTTTGTGTCATTATATCATATATGGAAGAACACTGCTCATCGTAAAGTACATGATTTACCTATTTAGGGAACAGGGTTTCATGTATGTTTAAAGATAATTGTATAAAAAATATTATAACAATTAGTCGAAACGGCAAGGCAACAAGAGGCAACAAACACCAACAAACACACATTAATGTTAATTTATAAAATTAGTAAAGGTATAATAATAATTGGTTCCTTTATAATTTCACGTACCACAATGTCGTCACATCGCTATCAGAGAAGTGCACGGAATATTAAAAGCGCCTGCAATCAAACCTAGTATACAATTGGCTTTCCTAAATAATGACGTGACGACAAAATAGTGTCGTACCGTGTCGTCCAAATAAAAGCATCTTTTCGCATTGTTTCTCCCAGATCAATTACAAATTAACAGCTATGTAAGTAAAACGCAGTGAATGGACAAAAAGACAGTGAACCATTGTGACCGTTGGAAAGCGTTACTTTCGCTGGCCACCGAACAACCGGTGGCACCAAAAGGACGTCGGTAGGTATCTACTGCCATCTTGACTCCTTGCTTTTATTGCATACTCAAGCACTGTTTTCTACACTCATTTCCAGTTATGTTCGCTTACTTTTTGAGTTTCAGTATAGTTAAGTAAGTTCTGGTGGTATATCTCTGCAAATAGATGCAGATGTCCACCTGTCAATCAATATACAAATAGTACATAGTATCTGAACGCAAGTTCCATAGATATACAGCATGTACAGAAATGGATTAGGGAGATGGATTTCGAATAGGATTTGAAAGTAGCGACATTTTTGAATGAGCCAACAATTTTTATGCTTTTTCAAATAAGTCAATATAATGATTTTTTTTTGACAACTACTTCCGTGAAGTAGGAGAAGGCAAATCGCTGTATGTGAATAAGGTCCCAGGTCCGAGTTTTGGTCGGGTCAATATACAAAAAAAAATTTCTTCATAGATATTAACATATAATAATTATAAAAAAAAAATCATTAATTTATGTTTGGTGTTCTGTTATGCTCTAGTTGTGCCTTTAGATGTTCCTTATTTTTTTATTTTATTTTTCGTTAAGACCAGTATTAACTATTTTTGTATAATATTAATTTAGTTGCTTTTCATACTCTATTTATATAAGTATTAAAGGAACTTAGCATCTTTAATACTCGTACATGGGAGGCTGAAGAGGTTGAGAGCCTAAATAGGCTCTTAACGTGTAATATACTTTCAAAGTGCAATATATTTCAAAATTCATATTCTGCATTATATAATACTATATATTATTTGATTGGAAAATATTACTTATTTTCCGACAGCTTCGTTTGACGGAACCTAAACTAATAAACATATATATTATTTTTATTTTTGTTTAAGACCATCCAATATAAAGTTTTAAAACTTTTATTATTTTTTAAGACTCAAAGACGCGAATATGAACCAGTTATGAGTATTGTGACCTCTACAAACCCATTAATATATGTCAGAAATCGGTTTAAAGAGGTGACCGTTTAAAAATATACCTACTTAAGTATATATTATGATAAAAAATAGTAAGGCTAATGGACTAGTTAGTGGGGTTTAGGTATATTGACGTATCCAAATCACGTTCATCGATGGCGGGACTGCGGTCGCAACCAAACGCATCTCCTCAGTTTGTGTTCGTTGGTGATAGCGTGCGACAAGTTTAACAACGGTATACGATGCGCTAGCTGTGCGCGGAATTCTGGATTCGACATTCAAATTTGAATTTTTTTCTAATTGTTTTCAAAACTATAGACAACATGTGGAGGTGTGCTTCTATTTTACTGTTTACGACATTAACTTTCACTTGCTCTCAGGTTGGTGTGCAACTCATTAATACTTTCCTTTAATATATTTTTGTGTTGTAATTTAAATAACATGTTGAACTAACATATTAACATTTAAGATTATATTTATTCTTATAATACTGGAATATTTCTACACCATTTAGGTGTTTAGGTTACAACGTACGTAGAACGTATACCTAAATTAAATCAGTAAGAATTTTATCTGAATTACACAATAGATACATAGGGATAATCTTGCTACATATCTTACTTCTTGCACAACCAGGACCTTGATTATCCAAGTTAAAATAACAAGAACCGAAGAATAATATATAGATCAGATGATTAATTAAGAAAGGTGAAGTGAGTAAAAAGAATTGTGGAAGAGAGTAAGTTTTCTTATAAGAAAATGAATTTCAAATTATCTCTAGCATCGACAAGGGGTTTGTTATACATCTAATTCTATATTTTAATTAGGTTAGGAAAATAGAGAGTCAGTCATACATATTCTGTCAAGACTGGTGTCGAATTAGAAATTTGTACATAATAGTAAATAGTAATTACACTAAAAAGTTAAATTATTTGAAAAAATCTCATAAAAATTGTTATACCTCATTCTATCAAATATAATAGTTAAAAAAATTGGTTAAGAAATGGCAAAGGTATTGCGTAACAAAGACACACATAAAAGAAATTAGCAAAGATATATCGTAAAATATATAAAAATTGTGTGCAATTTTTGTATATTTTATAATCACTGAGAAAATTAGAAAAAGTGTATGACTACTTCACTAAACTGAACAACTTTACATAAATATATTTGGGGAAAGATAAAAAATATCGAACCTTTATACTAATCGCGCAATTTACAGTGCACATTTCAAATATTTTCATATTTTGACGAACCCTTCGTTTTGGAGTTTAAAGTAATAAAGGGTTTACTATACATAATACTTATAATTATATATAATACATATATTGTTGCTTTAATATTATGATATAGGTAATATAAAGGAAATTCTATCAATGAAACTAAACACTTTTTCCAAAGAAAACGAACGATCTAAAAACGACCATAAAGAAGCCTCATGCACTAATAACTAATAGTGCATATATATAGAACTGAATGGTGAAAATGGCATTCAACCTTAAAAATTATTACGAGAGGCTCAACTATATTATTTTATTTTTTGACCCATGGTTTGCGGAAAATGTTCAGCTTTATTGGTAATTTAAAAGGATTATGGTAATTTTGATTTTTATTGTGTAGATATTATTCTCATATTAGTTTTTACTCAACAGGCTGACGTGGTTCGGGATGCTCGAGGTGTATTTACGAAAAACTTTTTTGGTGGTGTGTGGGGCAACCGGCCCCCACTCATGGAGAACAATTTACCGAAGACTACGTGCACCTGCAGTTTGTATATTTTGTTTGTTTGTAATAACTTCATTATATTTTATATTCACATGGAATTTTAGTTCTTCGAGTGTTTGACAACAGATAAAGCAAGTAATGAAGTCGTTCTTATTCCTTCATGTTTATGAAATTAATACTGAAGTGGTAGGTTTTGAAATTTGCAATTAAAGAGTAGTATAATAATAATAAATTTGAAGGATTTCTGTTTGAGGATCTGTAGTTCTATCAAATGTTTGAATCTAAGTAGATATCTAGAAAATAATTACGCATAAAAATTACTACATATATGTATATATACTATATATGATAAATATTGTATAAGATCTTGTAACTTTCGTTTCTACTCAATATTCCAAAAGTGTAGTTTTGAGAAAGAAAAGAGAAAACAATGTACAGTTTTACAATTTTATTGCTAAAAATGATCTTTTCCATGCAAACTTTGAATAGCGAAGAGTACCTACGAGAAATTATAAACAGTTTGGCCGGTGCCAAAATGTGTACATATACATTTTTTGAAGAAACACCGTTGTGTTTTTTGGCTTCGTTAAACAAGATGGGATTAAAATCATAAGTATCCTTTGAGGAGAGTATTCTGTCAGTGAAAATAAACATTTACCCATATGACATATAAGTCGAATAGCGGCAAAAAATGTTGAGCTACGAAGTTATTGGGAATTCTGGGTACATCACCGATTCTGAAGAAACTTTATAATTTTTTTAACAATTCCTTTTTATATAGCCTATTGTAAAAACCTTGCCAGAGAACTCGTTCCAAAATTAGTAAGTAAAGCTCTACATTTTTTAGTCGTTTTCAGACTCGTGTTTGTTTCGATAAACTAGTCAATACCACTGACAGAATATTCTTTTAAATGGAAGCTAAAGATTTCGATTTCACTGTATAGAGACTATATAGTGCATAGCATATAAGTACAATTTAATATACAAGCTGTGCTTTCTGTGTGGTGACAGAATGACAATATGATATGTTACAACTTTTTTTTATTTTCAACATTTCAAAATGTATAAGATTTTTTCAGGGTTGACAATGCGCGTGTACCAACCCTAGTATAGCGGGCGTTAGTTACCGTTTACCATCAGACGGGCTGTATACTTGCTTGCTACTTTCGTCATATAAAAAAAGTTACAGTCGACTGTATTACATCGGTATATTTTATAGGAAGATAATTTATCGCAATGTTTCAGAATGCGGTGAAAGAAACGAGGTGTCTCGCATAGTTGGTGGTGAAGAGGCAGGCACGAATGAGTTTCCGTGGATCGCCCGTCTGACTTACTTTAAGAGGTTCTATTGTGGTGGAATGCTCATCAATGATCGATATGTACTCACAGCTGCTCACTGCGTTAAAGGGTATGTACAACGTTTGTTCTTATACCTTACTCAGGATATAATATTATAATGTATTTCAAAATTCGAAGCAGACAACTTAGTTTTTTTTGTTTTTTTTTTTTATACAACTTAGAATGGCAAACAAGCTGACGGCCCACCTAATGTAAAGTGGTAACCGTCGCCTATAGACATGAGCAGTACCATGGACATAACAGAGTATACTGTTTCGCCCATGATACCCCCCATGCATTGCCATTCCTGAGGATTAAGGTGTTATTACTCCGTACCCAGTAATTTCACGCCATATCTCACCCTTCAAACCGAAAAACAGCCATGCAAACACAACTGCTTCACGGTTGAAACACGAATGGGACAGAGGTACCCAAGCAATCGACTTTTGTACAAAGTCTCCCTTTGGTTATATATCAGTCTAGTTATAACTGGTTATATATCAGGTATGAGTTATAGTAGCCTTTTACTCTTTTAAATGATTAATTGTTAGAGGACTTTAGTATATAAGTAATCTGTAACTATCGTGTCTCTACTACAGCTGTACTTGCATGGCTGTGTTTTGGTTTGAGGGATGGGATATAATAGTGAAATTATATACTGCTGGCATCTACCATAGTACTCAGAAGGCAACGCATGAGCGATATCATGAGCATCATAATGTATTCGATGATTTCTATGATGGTACTTATGTTTATAGGCGACGGTTACCTCTTTTCATCTGGTGGGCCGTCAGCTTGTTTGTCTTTCTAAGTATCATAGAAAAAAGTATTTTAACTTTCTACACTATAGCATTTAACTTATTAGGAGTTAATTTATATATATAATATATATTTATATATAAAATTATAGGATACTAGCGACCCGCCCTGACTTCGCACGGGTGCAATGCTGATACTAAATAGCGTCATAGGCCTCTCATTTGAGATCACATTAGAAACCTCTAAAATTATCAGTGTTTCTCTACTATGTTAAGCATGTATTATACATATAAACCTTCCTCTTGAATCACTCTATCTACTAAACTACGCATCAAAACCCGTTAAAGATCTAAGCATACATATGGACAGACAGACTCATTTATATAAACTATTTATAAGGTCTAGTAAAATTTGCAATAATAATTCATGTTCAATTCTTTGTAACCTTTTCGCAATATTGACTCCTTTTAATTGTCGAAAATTGTTATGATAAGGTCTCATTATATTATAATTCACTATTATAAATATATAGATATAGAATGATTTATGTTAATATTTCAATTATTAAAAAAATAAAAAATAAATACAAACGATATTAGAGAGTAATGTTATCTATGAACACTTTCATGAATGTAGAATTTCTTTCTTGAATACGAATCTGTGGGATTTTGAATTATTCATAACGCAATATTGGCTTCTGGATATTTAAATTCCACATCGCTTTGGATAGCACAGATGCATGAAGGTGTTGTCCAAGTGTTCTTAATAGGATATTGACACCTAACGAACTGTCTATATACGGACTGGTGATATTCGACCTACCTATTACAGAAATAAAACTTTTATAAAAACTTTTTATATTTTTTATATATCTTTTTTTAAAACTTAGAATGATTAATGTACTGACGGAGAATTTGACGGAAACTGGTAGCCGTCGCCTGCGTACATAAGTGAATAGCGCCATTGACATCACTACTTAGATCTTACATATTGGGGGGAGAAGGGAATGTTAGTAACGGGAATTACCAGTCCCATTACTAGTAATATACCCTGTCAGGTCGACCTCCACGCGGTTTCCCCTGGAAACCATCGTGATTAATTCTTGTTGAATTTATCACGATAGGCTAACTGACCTGTTTCATCATCTAGCGCCCCTCACTGGTGCTCCGCAAGTGTAAACCGATATCACAGGCTAGACTATCATTCCATTATCATTCTTTAAAAAGAAACCCTCACATAAAGTTTAAAAGTTAAGACTGTTTGAATTATTTATTTAAGAGTAGGGACATATACATCATCTCCTAAACAAACAAAATTTTTGAACTATTGGTGTGTCATTAGTGCACTACTCGAGTCACTGCTGTCAAAGAGCTTTGCTTATGTTTTAGTCTAAAAGGTATTGTTTCAGCCGTCAACTGTCCATTGCTGAACATTGGCCTAACCCATAAGGGAAGTTTTGTCAGTAGTTGCTATGCTTGGTAGGCGAGTTAGCATCCGCAGTTAGACTTTAAGAGAGACCCTGCTCCCTATCCCTCAACTATTAAATTTCTTTAGTCGCCTCTTGAAAGGTATATGGTGGAGAAATTACTTGGTATGGCCACACAATAGCTTAGTTGTTAGGTAAAGCTGCGTATGAGGGATCCGATGGACGTCATAGTATGTTTTGTGTCATTAGGATCGATTTTGAGACGTTATTTATCTAAACGTATTTGTTAACCTAAATTTTAATTTGATAATATCTCGAAATCACTGTTTTATGAATTTTCATAACCTGTAATAATTATAATAATTTTCACATAAAAGTATTAGAAAATCAGTTCATATTAGTTCTTATAATAAAGATATCGCTGTATTTCTCGCGTCGTGATTTCAAATTGAATATTTAATTTAAAAGATAGGTTATGAGAAATAGCATCTCAGAATCGATCTCATTATAGCTACTCATATTTATGTTACGACGGCCACTGCTGCGTGTAGGCGACAATAACTTTTTTAAGCAATTAAAAGTTAGATACTTATTATCACATATAGATAGGAAAAGAGATTGATTAAAATATAAAATTCTACTAGGATATAATTATCAAGTCATCATAGAATTAAGACAGTGTTGAAATTGAAACAGCACCAGTACCACGTACTCATACGAAGTATAATACCACACACTGGCTGATCACAAGATCTCAAAGAACAGTTGATCTATAAAACAAAAATTTCTCAGGTATATCTGGAATCTATAGATTCCATATGTGCTTTAGATTTTACTACTTGACGTAGTTTTCAGAATCAAAATCTGCCGCTGGTTTTTTTTTCTGTTAACTACATAAATGATTTATATCCGTGTTAATGTAATTAAGGTTAATGGATGACCAATAATATTTTTTTTTTTAATTTTATTGTAATTAAATAAAAAATAAAGGTTTTTGACCTTTACAACTAGGCTAATTGAATGATACACTAATTATCTTGTAACCATTATACACCAAATATTTGGTGTGCTGGTGCTACCTATATCTTTAAGTATTATTTCACCGTTTGCAAATCTGTGAAATGTGGATTTACACAAATGACATATATAAATGCAGTTGTTTTTGTTTGATTAAGACTTAGTTAACGGTATTTTGTGGTTTACTATATTTTACTTTATATTTTATACTTTTGATTAATTGAATGCGCATGAAATTGTAATAGGCATTATTATGTGATCTGGTCAATCGAAAACGCTATACGAGTATAAAATAAATTCCTTGTCCAAATTTCTGAATTCCAATCAGTATCAATAAGTACGTTCACCTTGAAACCGGCCCAAAAGCAGGCTCCAAACATAAAGTTCGTTATCCTCGCCAAACATAAATATCAATTGGCGCCTTTGGAGTTTAGTTTTTTTTTTACTTATATCAATTTCTTGGAAAATATTTTTGCATTTCCACGCAATACTTACCTACCATCTAATACGTCAAATGAATTTAATGCGTTGAGGATAAATATTTATTTTAAATTTTTAATAAATTCAACAACATAAAATTTTTTAGCACAGTTTTATTATTGATTCTGAGACTTCGTTTTTGTGATTAGGTATAAAAATAGGAATAATATTCATTTACATCCCACATTCAATACGTGCAGATGCATCTTCTTAATAATAATCCTGGCGGCGCCCATGTAGTAATACCTTTACATAGACAAATTTTAAATAAACAATAAAAACCTTTACACTTGTGAAAGTGCTTATTGGGCCCATTAATGCCCTTTTTTCTTTTTTTTTTATTCTATAATCATAATAATCTCTAAGTTAAATTTGTATCCTTATTTAAGCAATAAATTAGATTTGCATGCCTACAATTTTAAGGCAATTAAACAGATGCCGAAAAAGTTTTGTCACATGGCCCTTGTAATGTCAAATGTCTGTTTAAAGCAAATAAATATTTCATTTCATTTTGACCATGACTATTATGGCCAATAGTGACACTGTCAACATGAACTATAGATGAAGGTACATTATAACGCTAATAGAATTGATGTATTTTAAAAAAACAAAAAAAATAGGTGTTCACCAAACTACTGACTGAGACATTATCACTATCATCGCTACATAGTATAAAACAAAGTCGCTTCTCTATCTGTCCCTATATATGCTTAGATCTTTAAAACTACGCAACGGATTTTGATGCGTTTTTTTAACAGAGTGATTCAAGAGGAAGGTTTACATGCATAATATAGTAGAGAAACACTGACAATTTTATCGTTATAAGTATGTTATGATATATTAAAAAATATATATATTTGAAATTGAATTCTGTAGTATATTTAGTATATATTCGAGTTGCTAGTATACATATTTTTCAGAATATGTATTTGATAATGACGGGAACGGTAACTGTATTATTATTAGCGTCGAAAATTATGAATGAGGTCAATACTCATGAATTGCATGGTTTGGAATATAAGACGACGTTTGTTTCGCCCATTGTAATACTGGATACATATGTGCTAGGAGAAATCTGGGAAAGTCAAATACTACATTCACCATAACAGAAATAGTCGAATATTTGTAACTATTCCATCTGAGATTATAACCGTGAACATATTTGCGAACCTAACTAAAATTTGGCATGAGCAAAGCTATACCTAAGCGCGTTTGCTACTTTCGAAAAATATTTTAAATTTAGCTTTGTCATTCAATTACCAAATAACAGTAATTGAACTCGATGATTTTTCTAGTACTCTTTGCTTAATATTTTTTTCTATTAGAAAGTTACTTTTCATAATTAAGTATATTCATTCAAAATAATATACCTATAATCTGGTAAATAATTTCTAACTGTAGAGTTAGTTTTTCACAATTTAATAGTTTTATATTTATTTGATAAGCAACCTAAATAATTACGGGTATTTAAAACTGTGCATAAAAAAACAGCGTCTTGGAACTACTTGGAAACAAACCGTATACCTAGCATAATAAAATACCAAAATCAGCTGAGAATTGACGAACGTACTAGGTAATTTATGAAAAGTAGATTTTTGCTTTTAGAAATCTCTTAAAAAGGGGTTAAATTAGATAATTATTTGTTTAATGATATTGAAAATAGGTATTCAATGAAACCAAATATTAATACTAATATCATAAAGAGGGAAGACCTGTTTTTTTTAGTTTATTTGTAAAAAATAATCTTAAAAATTATTTAAGCCATTATAAAAATTCTGTTTCCTATAGAAAGCTGCATTATTAACGAGTACCTAACATAGGCTTTATATTATTAAAAAAAAAATATATAGATATCTATGAAAATTACAATAATGAAAGTCAAGGCACTAAAAATTTGCTTTTTAAAGCTAATATGAAATAGTAATTTATTTTTCTATCTATCTACATGTGCAAATGTAAGGCGGATTGCTTTTTATGAAAATATTCACAGTTTTTTCAGTTAGACGCAAATGAAATAAATGATTACAATATTGATATTTAATATGTTTTTTGTTTTCAGCTTTATGTGGTTTATGATAAAAGTGACTTTCGGCGAACATAACCGATGCAACGCGACCATCCGGCCAGAGACTCGGTTCGTCCTGCGCGCCATTGCTAACAAATTCAGTCTATCAAATTTCGATAACGACATAGCGTTGTTACGACTAAATGAACGAGTGCCTATATCTGATGCCATCAAACCAATATGTCTTCCATCTAACAATAGTAAGTATTAATTTAAATCACATTAATATGATCAATTACATATTAAAACTAGATTACACTTGCAGCAACAGCAATGGTATCCACCCAACTCTATCGAGTATTGACTAGAAGTAAAAAAATATTGTTAATCCAAAATTGATAGATAGTGAACTTATGAATAGTGTTTTATTTTTTGATGGGTGAAAATGGAATAGTAACCCAGCCTGCGCTAACGGGATACGCTGGCGGAGCACCAGTGAAGGGTGATAGATGAGAATGAAAACAGGCCAGTTAGCCCATCATGATGAATTCATAAGAAATTAACCATGATAGTTTCCAGGGAGAACCGCGAGGAGGTCGACCTGGCTGGGTATATTGCTAGCAATGGGATTCTTAGTCTTTATTACTAACAATCCCTTTCCCCCCTATGAATAGTGTTTGGATGCATGCTGGCAACTTAGGAACGTAATTTGTTCTAGTTGAGGGAGAGCAGTGGTTAATGTGTAGTTTCTATTGTAATTATTATAATACTGCTGATGATTATCATAGGTAATGATAATGAGACGTCATCAGATCAAAGCTGAATAGAATACAAAAGTTCAATTGCAATAGTTTATAAGCTAATGGATATATCAAAACTTTCAGTGCAGACATGACTATTATTATTTCTTATTATGATGCAGCTGTAATTTGTTTTTGTATGTAGAAGTCATCGTAATAGAATAGAGATATTGATTAATGTTCTTACAACTTATTAAACGAAAGGATTATTTCATTTATTTTTTACTATGTGTATTTATGGAAGAAAAAAAGTAAATATATTATCAAATTTTATTATTAGCGTTCATAACGAAGTGTGGCAACGTCGCAATTATATGTTAATTTTCAAAAACAATTGTATAATTTTTAATGTTTTTGTCAGATTTTATAAAAAGTGCACCGTTCGCAAATTAAAATTAATTCAGGAACAATATATTTATTAAGCTGTCGCTGAAATTTGGATTTTGATGCTTAAAATTTCTGAGCAAAACTTTTTTTTTGTATACCTTTGTGGTATACAAAAAAAGAAAACACTTGTTTGGTGGCAAACAATCATACTGCCCGTCTGATGGTAAACGGTCAATGTAGCCTATGAATGCTTACATAGTTTGTAGGTAAAACACTTTTTAAATAATCAATTGAAAACATTAAAAATTCTTCAAATATTTTTGAAAATTGACAGGTAATAGCGATGTTGCCACATTTCAGTAAGCTAAAGTTCTGAATGCTTTTAAGCATTTGTATTAATTTTCATTAATTTGTATCTTAATTGATGATAATATTAATTATTATACCACAAAATAATGACAATATTGTAAAACTTTGATGTTTGCAAGTAATTTACTCAACTATTATATAACAGTGGTAAGATTATTTCAATATCTCCATTACGACAACTACTATAGGCGTACTTAAATTTATGATTTTCCCCTTTAACATTCAAATAAGAGAAATTGACGAAGTCTTGGAGTTGCCTGCGGCGCTAAATACTTATTTAATTAACAGATAACCTGTACGTTGGTGTGAAAGCGGTCGCTGCCGGGTGGGGCACTCTCACCGAAGAGGGGAAGGTGTCCTGCACACTACAAGAAGTCGAGGTACCCGTCATCAGCAATGAAGATTGCAGGAAAACCAAGTATACAGCATCGATGATCAGTGATAACATGCTTTGCGCAGGATATCCGAAAACTGGAGAGAAGGATTCGTGTCAGGTACTTGTAACATATATATCTCATTTCCATTAGTAATAATATCTCTCGGTGTAATAGTTTAGATGTTGATTGGTCCATCTTTATCTTAATTGGATAAGAGTCTAAACTGTGGACTTTTATCGATACTGATTGGTTTTAATTTATTATGACATATAAAGCATAATAAAAACATTAAGAAACTCAGCTTTACTAAGAAATACATTGTTCAGAAAAAAAAAATCGGATTCAATATGTGAACATACATATCAATAAGTATATCAATAAATGACGGTACATTTCATAGCTACTCTACATTGTAAATATTGGACTTTAAAACGTAGATTCAGATGTTTATATATAAATATCGAAGCAAGCAGTTTTGTGCTCCGTAAAGGTTGCTCTTCATTTGTTACAAAATTAAAATGAGGACAATACAGGAGTAAACCCTATCGACTACAAAAAGAATTATAAAAAACGTAGTTGTACATTTTAGACGAATCAAAAACCTCCTTCTTTTGGAATTCTTTTAGAAAAAAATTGGATTAGATTTTATTTGATCGCTTTCTACGTTTTTTTTTTCAGGGTGACAGCGGCGGTCCACTTATAACTGAGAGAAAGTACGACAAACGCTACGAACTAATAGGTAATGAATATTGATGTATACATTACATGTGTTTAAAGTGACTTGCTCTTCATCCTTGCGCAACTGCGTTGTAGTACCTTTCACCTGTAGCTAATTTAGTTGTTCACAAAACATTAACAACCCATTACCTATATAAGGATATACATAGAAAATACCGACTCTACTATAACTCTGTAGTAGTGAATATCTACAGTTGTTTTACATCGCTCATGGGTCTATTTAATATTCAGTACATATTTTCTTTCTGACAATAGAATATTGTATCTATCTATGCACGTGTTATTGTTACAAGTGACTATATTATGAAGTTATGTTTATTTTACGTAAAACGAAAGCTACTTCGATGAATCAACTTAAAGTAATATTTTTCGCTTTTCGAATGAAATCATAATACGAATCGTATATATTAGATATAGGTTATTTACAGTTAGTAATTATTTTGGTTTTATAGAATATAATGTTTATTTACTTTTACTTATTTATTACATATTTCATGTTGTTTCTTTGTTCCATTATATATATGTTAGAGATATGTACAAATATATAGATTCTAACACAATGTATTAGGAGTTAACCCATATTATGTTCTAGGACAATATATTAAAGTTAAGTAGGTATTGTTTTAATACTCGCCTGTTTGTTTACTACTAGGGTTGTCAAGTACAATAAAAAAAATAAAAAAAAAAATGTATCATTGACTAGCTGATTAGACATAATATTCAAAATGTTATTTCTCTTCCCATAACAATTTGTTCGAACTATTATAATTAACGAATGTTAGAGAAAAATCTGTCTAGTCGTTTTTAAATGATAGGCTTATTAAAAGCTTTTTTTTTATATAGGTACACATAAATGCAATAGTTATCTTTGACAAAGTGTTTAATATTACTAAATAAAAATCTATATTTCATATTTAAAGAATACTCAGTCATTTCAACTAACCATCATTTCGACCCAAAAGTAGAATATATTACACGTATTTATAACAAATGGTTGGCAACCCTAGTTTCTGCCCACATGCAATTGTGAAGTGTGACATGTGCGTGCTTTCTCGTTGAATTATTTAATAATATATAATCAATTTGAAATGTCATGATGCACTGAATTATGTATGATATAACGGTGTTTACTATCATATTTAATTTACTTAATAAATTAGTTATTGTACAAATAATTTTTAAAATAAAAGATAAAATAATATAAAAAATTAAATATATAAGAGCATGAATATATATTTTGATAGAACAAATAGTTCATTATAATGAAGGCAACAATCAATATTCCTTCAATATTATAATTAAAAATATGTTCAATGAAGTATGTGTTGAGTACCTTTTTTTTGTGGTAGACGGCGTGCATACCATATGGTTATATTATGGTATAACGTCTATCGAATTAATTTTGATTATAATAAAAAAAAATCAAATAAGTAAATACTTGTTTAAAGATTTGATTTTAAAACATATATTAATGTTTTAAATTAATGTCTTCTATTTTTTACAGGCGTCGTGTCTTGGGGCAATGGATGCGCGAGAGTTGGTTATCCAGGCGTTTATACAAGGGTTACCAATTATTTAGATTGGATTCGAGAAAATACGAAAGATGCATGTTATTGTACAGATTAAAAAAAATGTTTTGCAATGCTAAAACTTAATGAATACTACAAAATAATCAATTGTGGATTTCGATTATGGTTGGATGTACCTATATTTGTAAATTATTATAATGCTTACTTAAGTACCTATCCATATTATGTACTCTTATTACGTACTTAGTTTATACTAGACTCTACACAAATTTGAAGATATAGGTTTCGAATTTGTGTAGTCTAAATGTTGATATAATTGGTATGGTAAATGTAGATTTAAGGATATTTTGTGAAAACCAATTAGGAGTTACATTTTCACATAATTGTAATAAGTTATTTTTTTTAAATTTATATTTTAATTGTACTATAATAGTTCTACAGAAATATATATAAAAATTGTTTAGTCGGTAAAAATGAACATTACATTGTCATATATATATATATATATATATATATATATGTTAAAGACAATGATTTTCGCGATTTCGTAGTGTATTTACAAACGCAATTTTTCGGTTAATTATTTTATAAAAGGATATAATGTAGTAGCGTAATTATTATATGGAGTACACTGATAGTCAAATATGATATTTAGTAAACATATTTATTTGGGAATGGTTTTAATGCATGTTTGATAGTAATATCCTTTCATCTTCCAATATTGATAATATGTTTAGTTAGTTATAGATAATAGAGTTGGTTTTAGTGGGTGGTTCAAATTGAAACTTATTACAGTATAATTTCGTATTAACTTTTGAGATCACATACATCTGATAGTGATCAAGACCATTGTCAGTCTAGTCATCCGTTCCAAGATGCAGACTCAAGTTCAGACTGAGTATACTCAGATTTATATAGACTACATTTTTTTAAAGAAAGATATAGTTTAATATTTAATTTTAAATTATCGATAGAAATTTATGATTGCATTTCTGTAAATGCATCGTATATGTTGTCATAATCACGAATTTATAGATTTGTATTTATGTATGTGGTAGGTAGACTTTTAAATGATGCATGTAAATTGAAAGGTGACGTCGTCGTAACATAGAATTTAGATACAATATTTTAGTCACACTATACAGTTGTACGTCACAAGACGCCATTCAATTAACATGTACAAACATAAGATACTGATAAGAATGTTAGGAATAGGTACTTTCTTCATTAACGCGATGTTAGTTTCGTTACAAAAAGTATTTGTTCATTTTGTAAGATCACGGATACAGATTGCAATAGATGTCGCAAAATACCTCAGTTATAAAAACTAAATGTGCCATATTTCTTACACATTGTTGTTATTATTCTCATTCAAATATTTAAGATTATTTTACAGGGGGCCTGGACCTTTAAATACAGCATATATGTACACTTCGAAATGTCTTTGTGAAGTTTTGTTCGCGTCATAGGGTTTTTTTTTTGATGGGTGAAAATGGTATGGTAACCCCACCTGAGTTAACGGAATACGCTGGTGGAGCACCAGTGAAGGGTGATAGATGAGAATGAAAACAGGCCAGTTAGCCCATCATGATGAATTCATCAAGAATTAACCATGATAGTTTCCAGAGAGAACCGCGAGGAGGTCGACCTGGTTGGGTATATTGCTAGCAATGGGATTCTCAGTCCCCATTACTAACAATTCCTTTCCCCCCGCGTCGTGAGGTAGGCACTGGACAATTTAGGAGTGATTTCGGCCCATTCAGACACCTTTCCAATACGCCTATGGTTATTTTACAATTTTGTAGTACAAGAGTTGCCTATTCATTGCTTGTTGGGTATACAAACAAACTGACTTTCACACCAAACCGTTTCGACGATATCATCCGTAACAGTGTTTTCGTAAATCACCTAAACTTTCTCTACACAAAATTCATGTAAGTCCGAATCAAAGTTTAGTTACGAGTCTAAGAAGACTCTTCACTTTCTAGTGTAAATAAATATCAAGAAATGTAATTGCAGTAGCGACGTCTATTTGGTCTATGTCTATGGTCTGTATCTGAAACAATACATTTCGACATTTGATAATGAAAATAGGTACCTATGGTTTAAGTTTTTCAAGGCAGATATTAAGTATGTATTTGCAAACGAAGGAAATAAAATTGTTCGTTTTTTAGTTAATGACACTATCTTGCTTATTATATACATATCTCTTCTATTTAAAATTTTTGCCATAAATTTATGTTTTAATCTTAGAATTTAAGAAAGTTCAATTTAATTTTTCAATGTTAATATAAACGTGAAGAATGAAATTAATGAAATTTATATATATAATTAGTTATAAAATATAACGAATCAAATATAAAATGTATACTTAAAGCCGAGTATATGACGATTCGAAATGGATATCAAATTGGTAGTTAGCATCACCTGAAAGATTACCAGAAATAAATAGCATTTAAGTGTGGGTTAATAATTATGTTATTACAAAAAATAAAGTTATTTGTATGTCAAAATTATTTTGAATACATACGCAATATACATACTTAGTACATATTTAAGATGTAGATGCCATAGTTATTATTTATGTTAAATATTACCTTAGATTAATGAAAGTATTATGTAAATTTTGTAATATTCATGACGAAATTAATAAAGTACCTCAAAATTTTATTCGTTTTTAATAACTTATTTAAATATTTTCCATATACGTATAGCATTGTTATTTTCTTAGATTATATAGATAGAGTGTTTCCATACAAATGCTTCGAGAAAAGCGGGTCCACAGTTTCATACAATTTTGCGTGACAAATAGTTATGAGCGATTCTTTTATAATTCTATATTTCGTCTTATAATTTCTGCATCTTTTTAATGCGTAAATACTTATTTTATTTATTAAATAATACGTTAAGATACATTATATGCGTAACACTGATAAAAAAAACGAGTCAGTCTATATAATCTAAGGTTATTTTATTTCTTTTTATATACAATTCTGTAAAAATACTTTAAAAAAAATTTGATTCCAAATTTAAATCTATAATGAAATCACTAAGCCATCAGGAAGTTATGAAAGTGGTTTATATTATATATAATTTGTTTAAATTGTCTATTGTGTTACAATTTAATTCATTCGAAATGTCAACAAGTATAAGATGAGACAAAATTAGAAGAACAGGTATCACAATTGTTGGTAATCGGCTACTTTTTAGCTTTAGTAAACGAATTGTTCGCATTAATTATTTTGGATTATTTTCGTGTAAAATAGTGCTATGAGATTTTTAATGAAATTAGACAATATTATCGTTTGATAGTGATAGTGGAAGACTGGATTAGTTTTTGCTTATTGTATCAGCATAAGCAGTCCAACATGTTTTGCAATATCAATGTGTTATTCGATAATATTAAATTCGATAATAATTTTAAATTGACATTAATATATTGTTCGTAAATTTGCACGTCCATCCGTCAAGTTCGAAATGTATATTTAATAGGTACAAATTTTTAACCATTTATACTATACTATATATTATTAAACTGAATGGTGTATCTAACTTCGATGACAATAGAATAATTTGAAGTGAAGAGGATGTAATGATGAATCTTTGTCTTTTATGTATTCTGGGGTTAAAAAAAATGTAATATAGTGATTATATTTTTTTCACTATTTCTTCGCCTCTTACTCTACTTTCACTTCATTACATTTTTGTTATTATGATATGGGTACCTACTTACCGGAATAGTTTAAAAGTGTCTTTTCAAAAAATAATTCCTAATTTTAGCAGTAAATAATCATCAACATCGATTAAAAGTAACGTACAAATTTTGCAATTTATATCTATACAGTAAATAGGTAAACTTAGTATCTATTTATTGATCGGTCGGTTTATAATCACTTTCGCCGAATTCCTTATAAAAGGAATTGAATCTAGTAATTTGTAAGATAAGATAGTTAAGATGACATTAGTTCATTATTATGGACTTGTTTGCAGTTCAGTCATATGCAGATGAAGCGCATGTTGGTTACACTAATTGTTACCTCTATATACAGCGACCTAAGGTTTAAATTATTATGATGGAATGTAGACAAGAACAAACCACGGTTCAATGACCTGTCAGGTCATTGCCAAATATTACGGTCGTACAGCCTCCGTGGCAGTTAAAATGTCGCTTTTATACGTATTATTCAATGATGTAATAATATTAATTTTAATTTATTTTCTTACACAGAATAAAATGTTGAAGTTTTATTATACAAGTAGATAGGAACTTGCTAATTTAATTACACATTATAAAAAATTAGATACTGTTTATTGTATTATTTACCAGTATAAAAATATATATTGAATTATGAAAATTATAAGGAAATTTTAATCCACTTTAATATTACTTCAAAAGTAAAGAAAGAACCAGAAAGATTATAGTTTGATTAATTATAATCAACTTTGTATAACGTTTCCATATATTTTTCTGATACCTGTAACTGTAAAAACCACATGCGCAACCTTAAAAAAATATGGAATATAAATGACTGTGAATTTTTCAACATTGGTGAGTAAATGTTTTTTTTTTTGCAGTTTAATATCGAAATTCTTAATCTTTGGCTGTGTGTTTTGTTAGCGGTGCTTTGATTTATATGTTCAAGAAGTTACGTGAACGGTGTTACCCGTTTTGCTACATTTTATGGGCTACATAACCATAAAGTACGTTGAGATTCAAGTCATGTGTTAGTGTTTCGAAAACATTGAACCTCGAGCATATGAACTTAATTTTATCGACGTAATATTTTTTCTTTTAGTTAAATAAAAACTTTTTTAAATTATAAAACAATGTGGATTTATTCTTTAATATTCATTTTAGCGTTTGTGTCTGTGGGACTTTCAATGAATAAGGTGAGCATTTTCATTATTGGTTTATTATCGATTAGATTAAATTTAATTACCGTTGAACTCTGTCAAGCAACATTGTACATAGTTTTATAACGATTAGAGTTGCTTTTCTATTGAATCAATCAACTACCAAAACAACTACAAAATTAGGACCGCATTATAAATGGTTTTTAAATTTGGAATAAGTAGAAAAAAAAATTATAACACTTTTAAAATATTCTAACGTGGATTTATTTATATGTTATATATATGTGGATGTCTAACATTTATTACATATATACATATATATGTAATAAATGTTATACATTTTATTTACACTAAATTTCAATATTATTACCAAAACTGAATTAATTTGCTATCCATATAAGGGGGAATATTATCACGCTGGTCAGATGATCTGATATGAGGTTTTATATCGAGTTTAATTTCTTTTGTTTTATTCTAAAAAAAAAATATTCTTTTGTTTTATTCACGTAATCACAGAAATACGGGATTGAAAAGGAGTAGTGATATTTAAGGTAATAATTTATTTACTTAATTATCACACAAAGATATTTTTTCATATTTATTGAATTAATCTAGTACAATTTAAGTAAACACCTGGTATCGGTAGGTTGTTGACACGTTAATTGACATAGGAAGGTATATAATACACATATATATATGTATATAGTATGAATATATACGTATATACGTATACTAAAAGTTATATATTACTATATCAGGTACTTTCTTTTTTTAATAGATAAATGTTACCTTTTTAAAACATATGTATATAAACATTATAAAATATAAGTTGGAGGACTTTATAATTAATTTCCTTGGGGAATTTATTCAATGTTTTATTTGCTATATTATTTTTAATATTGCTGGAATTGTTATGTCTAAATCCTATAGATCTCTGGTTACATCCTATAGTATATTATTTAAATAAAAATATAGGTATATCGTATATTGGTATGTACGCATGCATTTGCGGTTTGCCAATAAAAGTCTCGTTCGTCAAAAGGCCTCGTTTAGGTTATTGACCTTCGTATTATTAAAATACGTAGGCTTAACAACGCCTATAAATTTAAACAACGCTAATAAATTTTATTATTTACTAAGCATAGTATTTTTATGAATATTTCAGGATGCACTACAAGTCACTGAAACTTCATTTCGATCACCTTTACAGTTTGATTACTTTGCAGAAAAAAAAGTTCCAGACTGTCAAAATTGCGGTAAGATTTTTTTAAAAATAATATTTACATCTACTGTAAAATATATAAGTATTAAGGAAGTACTTAAAATTATTGGATGAAATTTTATACGATTTTTGTATTAGCGTAAATATTATAGTACATCCAAGCTATGAAGATTGTGTGACAAAAGAAAACCGACTTCAATTGTGATAAAACCAGTAATTTTGATTTAAAAAGTAAACTATAATCTGTGAATATATTAAAATAAAAAAAAAAATTATAAAGAAAGTTTTTTTTAAGAAAGACTTAAAAATATTCAACCGAATTGAGAATCTCCGTTTTGAAGTCAGTTGTGGCAAAATTAGTTGTTTTAATTTAAAAACAAAGATAATAAAATCGATTTTAATAAAAGTTGTTGTTGGACTAGTTTGTACGTATATCCTTTTAAATAAAAAAAAAAAAAAGAATTTCCCAAATCCTTTACAATGACGGAGTTATAACTCTGTAATAAACATAAAAAATACACCAGAATTGAGAACCTCCTTCCTTTTAAAGTCTGTTGAAAAATTAATTAATACTGAGCTACCAACTATTGAATAGTTTCGCGTACTTTACTTGTACAATTGTTTAATGAAGGAATATCAGAAAAAATAAGAGGTCATTATGTTAATGCAACTAAAATCAACTACATTATGTTCTGTCACTTGTAGTATGATGTGGACGAAAGTTATTATTGTGACAATTTTTATAATGAAAGTGGTTGAGTGACCTTTCAAATCTAATTATTTTAGTAATACTTTCTGATAATCAAATGTATTTAAAGAAATAAAACCGTTTTATTCTGTCAACCGCATCGTGCTATCGTGTACAGAGTATACATGAGTTAGTTAAGTATCGGACAACCTTATGTTTTGTGGGAAATTGATGAATGCGGGTGCCATAAAACCTTTATGACAATTTATGGAGGAAGCTTAAATGATAAAGGGCTAAAATGATGTTGTTAATTAAGATTAATTACAGTACAGTGGATTGCTGTTTTAATATGAACAAGATATTTACCTATTAATAATTTGAATAGTATCAAAATAAGATAATCGCCCATCTAATGAAAAGTGATAAGCGTCGACTAGGATTTAATTAGCAATATGAATATAAAAGATACTGTAATTCCTTCATGATCTTTTTCATGTTTTTTTTTTATACCACGAAAGTGGTCAACAAGCCTACAGCCCGTTTGATGGTAAACGGTCACTGCAGCCTGTGTACGCCTGCAACACTAGGAGTGTCACGTGCGCTTTGCCAACTATGTTTTGCTATTCGTAAAGACGGATACTTTATTATCCCCTCCAAAAGATTACAGCAGTAAAATTAGTAAAAATACAAATATAGAAAATACAACAAAAGGTCACATTGAGAAAACAAGGGGGCATTATTGCTAAAACTTATTATAATATTCCTAAATAAATATTCATCTTATTGATAAGAGTTCATAACTGGTAATTTTAATACCACAACATTTATAAATTGAAAATAAGATATTTGTGGTTGTAGGTTGTGGTGACCGCAACGAAGAACTGCGGGTAGTGGGTGGTGTTGGATCTAATATGAACGCTTACCCATGGCTTGCCCGACTCATTTACCATAAATCCTTTGGTTGTGGAGCTTCGTTGATTAACGACCGATATGTCATATCCGCCGCGCATTGTGTGAAAGGGTAAATAGATATTCATTATATATTTTTATTTTATATTTATTCATTATTTGAAAAAGGAACTTCATGTTAAAAGGCTACCTAAGAACGTTACTTATAAACTAATTGCAGGTATTAGATACTGTTATAGTGTAATCTGAATACCACCGATATGCCACAGATAATATAGAATTTATCTACTTTTTATTATATACCAAGCTATTTTATTATTCGATTATGGCGAAGCGAAAAGGAGGATTATGATTTCGAAATAAGTGTGCTATTGAAATCATCACAGTAAATTACTAGTATTGTAAAAAAATATATATTTTTCAGTTTCATGTGGTTCATGTTTCGAGTAACTTTTGGTGAACATAATCGCTGCGATCGCACGCCGCCACCAGATAGTCGCTTTGTGGTAAAGATAATTGCCCATAATTTCTCCTTGACAACCCTAATGAATGACATCGCCTTGATACATTTGAATAAGCCGATTACTTACTCACATGCTGTAAGGCCTGTCTGCTTACCCACAAATCCAGGTTAGTACTTATATATTATGTACATAGTATAAGTATTATCGTTATAGTAAGAAATCTATATTTTGTTTAGTGCTAGCATTCTAATTATCAATTGTGAAGTGCGTAAGTACACATTATATTTCGAGATTATTCGGGACCTTTACTCATTGAGCGATCCCGAAACTAGGCGAGCGTTCTCGACTAAAATTCACGCAAATTAATCAGGTTTTATATATTAAAATTATTAAATGATCAGATAGTACGAAATTTTATGTAAACATAGGTACAAAAGACTTATCTAACTGAGCCTAGAGCAAGTAAAGAAGTAGCTAGCTATTGTTTGTTTAAAATATTCCGTTTCTTACGTCAGCCTTTTATTATTCACTGTGAAGTAAAATTATGTTTAGTTGTTTTTGTAGTTAGAAAAGTCATTGGCAGAGTACTTTTTAATCTTCACTAATATTATAAACGCGAAACTGACTTTGTTTGTTATCTTATATTGCCTTCACGGTTTAACAAATTCCTATCACATTTGGTATACATGATGTATAATGGGATGTACTCTTTTTATGGAGTAAACATATCGGATCGAAATGAAAGAGTATCGGATGGAGAAGTAAATGGAGCTTAACATTTCATTTGTTAAATCCTACCATAAAAGTTCAAAGGAACGATATTTTAACATTTTTAATGTTTTTAAATCCTGCAAATTTTTACTTGGACGAAAACAAGTTGCGAAGTGCAAGCTATTATTGCATAAATGTAAATCTGTGTTTGAAAATCATGCCTTCATTTATTGCTAGATACTATTAGGTAACTTCATGCTAAAAATGTTAACATTTTAAGCATGAAGTTATAATGTAATGTAACATGATAGTATAATGACATAAGAATTATATGTAATACCTTACCTAGTTTAAAGTAGTGATGGCAAATAGTAAATTAATGGTAGACTCACTATACCTATATTACGATTTCTTTTATGACTATATAAAATTTATGTACTAGATTCCATTAAATGGACCATTAGACGATTATTGTCCTCAGTAACAGTAGTGTAATCTAAGCCAGTTCCTATCTATATAAAAATTTCAAGTAGCTGAAATATTCACTTTGAGTGTCCTTGTCATTATCTAATAATTACTTACAGCGCATTGTTTCAGATAAAGATTATGTAGGTACCATGGCCTTAGTCGCCGGTTGGGGGGCGACAGGAGAGACTGGGAATTGGTCATGTACAGTTCTAGAAGCAGACCTGCCGGTACTTAGCAATGAAGTGTGTCAAAGTACTAATTATAATGCTTCCAAAATCAAAGATGTCATGATGTGTGCTGGATATCCCGCTACAGCGCATAAAGATGCTTGTACGGTAAGTTTGTTTAAACATCCTTTATTCTACACAAAAAACAAGGATTAAATAGTATATAATCAAAACTTTAGCTATTACTGGCTACTGCTAAATATAGTTTATTTCTTTAGACCGCTAATAAGAACAGTCCAGAGCCACTTATAGCCATTGACTCACTGTAACTTTAATTTATTGTTTTAATGTTGTATATTGAGTTCAAAATGGGATAAGACTCTATTGATTGCAAAATAAATTATTAAAAATTTTATCTTACGCTTTCTTTTTTTTCTCGCTTTTCTTATATCGGTATCACCAGGCTGGTGGGGCATTAGTAGGGGATGATAGGCGAGCGATGAATTCATCAAGAATAAATTACGATGTTTTCCAGGAGGAACCGTGGGAAGGTCTGTCAGGATATATTGTTAACAATGGTGACACTAGTTCAAATTACTAATAATTTTTTTCTCCTCTGCTTTTATGTCTTGTTCTAGTTCTAACAGTTAATAAAAATAATATCTGATCGAATCGAGTAAGATTCTTTATCACCATAGGATTTTGGAAACCTAGTTCTAAAATAAGAAATGAACATTAAAATGTAAATTTAAATTTTCTCATGTTATATAGTCATACATGTCATTATAAGGTTATACAAAAATAAATAATATTGTTACAGGGTGACAGTGGTGGTCCTTTGGTTGCAGAAAATAAGGATCATGCATATGAATTAATAGGTAAAAAAAAAAATTATTAAGCAGACTGTTATCACAGAATATAAAGTAAATTTTATTGTAAGTTATAACTACCTCTTTCCACTTAATATTCTAAGCTGGTATATCTGACGCTTAGAGAGTTTTATTTTACTACTGGTTATTATCGCCACTATTTTGTTTATTTAAATAAAATTACAATTAAGCTAACTGCCCACCAGTTCAATCAAAATATGGACATATAAGCACGGCTGTTTCATGACAAAAATACTCATAGAGCAGCAGTATGCAAGCAGACGACTTTTAAACGAACATTTTCTCTGGTAATACTATGTAATTATTGAGCTACGACCTCGTGAATAAGCTGAATTTGGTTGCTAGGATTTCATCATATAGTTCGCAGCAGTGATAACTCTTTCAATTTTATATAGACGATCGAATTCTGCTCAATTTGATTTCAGGTATCGTATCCTGGGGCTATGGTTGTGCAAGAAAAGGTTATCCGGGAGTATACACCAGAGTAACCAAATACCTGGATTGGATTAGAGACAACACTGCAGATGGATGTTACTGTAGTTATTAAGACGTTATTATAGATTAATATATAAAGGATAAAAAAATATTACTATCTATGGCTATTAAATTGAAAGAGGCAATTATATTCAAAATAAATGTAATATAGTTAAATAGAAGTGAAAGCGAACAAATTAAAAGAAGAAGGAACTACTTCAGAACTTCACTGTTAAAATAAAAAAGAAATATTTTCATTTGTTTGATATTTTTATAAGATCTATAAAACGATAAGACTGCAACGAGACAAAAAGGAAGGGAGCTAAACAATAATATGATTTTTATGGGTTCCTTTACCTGTAATCTTAATCCACTAAATTCTTTTTAAATGAGCATTATAAATTAGTTAATATTTCACTACCTGGACTAGTCTGTGTGTCATAAAATCATAACTTGTACAACGAACTTCATGAAATTTGAAGATGTAATTCGGTAGCTAGAAAGACGATAGTAATCAATACTGAGATAGAATTAAAATATAGTGAAATAATATATGACGAGTATAGAGTTTTATCTATTAGTTAAATTTACACACAACATTTTGTTCGTTTATATAAAAGTATTTTATGAAATATATTATAATATAGCAAACAATAAAATATATACTTCAAAATGTACTTCTTTATTTATTATCATAATAAAATATATTTAAGAAAAACACTGAATATATTTTTTAATACTGCAAAGTATTTTAAAAGCAGCGTTTAGAAGTTATTTTAAAAATACGTTGAGATTTTTATAAAATAGGACTTAAAATTAAGAACTTTATAATCTTTTACTTTCTAGTAACTGGAAAAGGTATAGTATAAGTTTATTAAAAAATGTTATAAATTGTCTTTATGCAAAATGCTAATATAATTTGAATGCATTGTGACGTTCCTTGCTAGCTGTATACAAATACATAGAGTGCAATGCCCCCATTACTTCAGCTTCCTTGCGGTCCAGACCAGTTGCATTTTAGCCCTTGAACCTGATCTAAGACTAGCGCATATTTTATTATATGACATAATATTTATTATTACAAAATACATTAAAAACTTCATTGAAGTTTGTGCAATGTTAAAAATATTGATCGTGTTTATTACAAGTGCTTATGTAGTTGGATTGGTGGTAAGATTTGGTTACTGTAAAAATATTTACATGTTTAAAAAATAATCGAAGTGATAGGTTCTCATCGTCAGTAAGGTTTTTGATTTAGCTTAAATTTTTAATTTAGTTTATGTAATATGTTAGCTTGCAAGGTGTATACTTACTTATGTATTAAAGAAAAGTTGCGTAAAATAAACAAATAAAGTAAGTGTTTTTCCCGAAGGTAACCACGAACTTTATGGATAAAGATTTTAAATGTGAGAAGATTGTAAACGGATTAAATTCTCAGTGCAACTGTCGTAAGTAGCTATTATTATTAATATAATTATTTATTATAACTTTAATGCACAGTAACATTCCATGTACATTGCGGACTTAACACCGGACGGCATTCTCTACCAGTCAACCATTGGGCAAACCGAGAAATACGTAGGCGGTGCATTATTGAATAGAAGAAAAATAAAGGAATATTTGATATATTCATAAAATATAAACACATTATTAGACTAATATAAACATACACCTAATATATTAAATAATATACATATTATTATAATAAACACATAAATAAATACATAAAATATTGCTATATAAAACAATTAAATAAATATATATGATGATATTATTCAAATACATTATAGATGAATTCCCAACTGAAATTGAATTTCCATACATTTTTTTATTTATTTTGTAGTTTAGTCACATAATATACAAAATGATTAGAAATTTCTTTAGAAAAAATTCTTTTTAATTTTATTGAGCAATATACTACATATTTTAAAGAAAAGTGAAATGGCCTGTAAATAAAAATTTTAAGAGAATATTGGTGATGTCATCATCATTTACAGGTTGCGGGGAAAGGAACGAAAATTCTCGCATAGTTGATGGTGTAAAGACTGCACAGAACGAATTCCCATGGGTTCTTCGTTTGACATATTTTGACAAGTTCTATTGCGGTGGAATGCTTATCAACGATAGATATGCATTAACAGCGGCGCATTGTGTTATTTAGTTTGTATCACTTTTGGTTTTATAATTTTCTAGTACCTAATCTCTTTGGTGAGTTTTAAGAGAGAGAGAGAGAGAGTTTTATAATGAGGAAATGTCGCACTTGTGACTTATATTATTTAATAAACCCCTAAAAACAAGCAAATACAATTTATTGTTGTGACATATTCCCATCACATGGACGAAGTTGCGAGTTAAACCTAGTTTGTAATAACTTTTTTTTAATGGGTGAAAATGGATTGGTAACCCCGCCCGCGCTATTGGTATACACCGACGAGGCACCAGTGGAAGATGATAGGTAAGAATGAATGCAGGTTAGTTGGCCCACCATGATGAATTCGACAAGAATTAAACATGACGGTTTCCTGTTGAAGGGAATGCGCTGTGGAGAAGTCATCAAACCTGAGAGGTTCGTTATATTGCCAGTAATGGGGCGTATAAAAGTTTTTTATTAGACCTTATTAGGTAACAATTTTTCCCCCCAGTTTGCAATAATAGTAAGGATTTGTTTGAAGTTGATAGTGAAGCACAATCTATAAATGTAACTAACTATATTGTTTTATCACCAGCCTTATGTGGTTTATGATAAAAGTGACCCTTGGAGAGCATAACCATTGCAACGCTACTGTCCGTCCCGTAACGAGATTTGTCGTCGAGGTCACCGCACACAATTTCACGTACCGCAACTTCAGGGACGATATAGCTCTGTTGAAGATGAATGCACCTGTAGAAATCAGCGAAGTCATCAAACCTATATGCTTACCATTTAACGATGGTTTGTTCATTTTTATATTTTCACATATCCAATATCACCTTGTTTTCCACTTTTTGAGAATTAGATTCTCGGATCCAACCAGTTACGTGAAGTGACATTTCTTTGTTTCAACTTATACTGTTAGTGAAAAAGTGAAAAACTAAGATTAGTATCATTAGACGTTTATCATCATCATTGCATTTCATTTTACTATATATTATTATATTTTGCTAAAGTTTTATTCCAACCATCTGGATGTGTGAGGGTCTTCCACTGTGCCTTTTTCAAGGCACTTTCTTTCACGCACAACCACTTTTTGGAATCAACTTCCAGCAGCAGTATTTTCGAATCGATACGACATTATAATCTTCAAGAAAAGAGCATATTCCTTTTTAAAAGACCGGCAGCATACCTGCAATGTCTTTGGTGCTGTGGGTGATCATGGGCGGCGGTAGTCACTTACCATTAGGTGAGCCGCTTGCTCGTTTGCCCTCTGTGTTATAAAACAAAAGATTTTGCTTAGAAAGAAAGAAACATTACATATAGTAAACATTATACACAATAAACAGAAAAAAAAAGAAAAGCACTAAAATAGTGTCACTCAGCTACAACATTTCTTCATTTTGTCCTTTTGAACATGACGCTGATTTTCAGTGGCATCAATTTGCTGGTGAGAGAGCATCACTTAAAATCAAACTAAAAAAAATATTGAACTGAGTTTGTAATAACAAATGGTATGCAAAGTACGTACAAAATTAATAACAGAAACTTTATCTTTTAGGAGGATCTTGGATAAATATGATACATGTGTAGCTAGATATAAATGTTATTTAGAGTTTAAGATTCAATAATATTATTTCTACATATTGACAAGTGTTGAACTCATTTATCTGCTTTTTTATATTTGGTCGAAAATTAACTATAGAGATAGGCCAAATCTGAGATGACATAAAAGGTTGAAAGTGGCAAAGAAAAACTAGGAAAACTGATCCTGACATTATTAGTATATCTAAAAAAAGATAGGGATACTCTTGTTACACTTATCTTTTTATTAAAAAAAAATAAGCATAGTAAAGTTAAAGATAGATATTTAAAATAACAGAATATAATAATCTAAATAGAGTTTAATATATCAAATATGTTAATTTTGCATCTTTCAGACAGTACGTATGTGGAAACTCAAGCTTTTGCATTTGGTTGGGGTACGACATCTGAAAAGAAAAATCACTCTTGTGAGCTATTGGAGGTCGAATTGCCCGTATTAAGTAATGATGATTGTAAAAAGACCAAGTACGAGGCCTCGATGATAGCTGACAGTATGCTGTGCGCTGGATACCCAGATAAGGGCGGGAAGGATACTTGTCAGGTAAACAATTTAGCAGCGATTAAGGTTTTCAGATTTGATTAATTATGTAAAGTAAATTCTTAGTAAACATTTATTTTAGAGTATATAAATTGTAATTACTTACACATGGTAATAAGTAAAAAATAAAAGTGTAAAAGTATCGTGTTTTTGTTTTCAGGGTGATAGTGGTGGACCTCTGTGTGTGGAAAGAAAAGACAAACGATATGAGCTTATAGGTAAGATTTGTTAATATCAAAATTTTATTTTGGTGACTATGTTCATATATATATATATATATATATTTTAATTAGTAATTATAAAGTAATTACATTGCATCATAACCTTAGTAAACTTACGAATAAAGAGATGGATTTCAGATTAAAAATAAGTGAGAATTGTCATTGGATTTTCCTAGTAGATAAATAAAAAGAATGTTTTTACAGGAGTGGTATCGTGGGGGATCGGATGTGCTCGCCCTGGTTATCCTGGCGTGTATACAAGAGTCACTAAGTATCTCGATTGGATTCGAAATAACGGATGTGATGGCTGCTTTTGTAATGCAACCATTACTCCTACTACACATGAAAACTGAAATATATATTAAACATAATCAGGAATTCTAAAGATTATCATTATAACGTAATAACTTTAAACTGAGTATTTTTTTTATTAACTATTAATAAATACATCCCATATGTAAATTGTTTGATGTCGTTATAAAATAACATGTAAGTTCAAAAATGTAAGGTACAATTTTAAATTACTCAGTATTGTTCTTTTTTCTTTAATTACAATTACGTTAATCGATTCACCGAATAACTATTGTTTTTCTTTTATCACTCTTCTGGCCTTGTTATGTTATTTTACTAAGTTTTATCATAATGACGAAATTGTATAACCCGCATGTACCTATTAGGTAGTGTTAATATCAGACGACAGGATTCAAACAACGTCATTGGCAAATTACATTTCTTTATTAACAGATCTTGTTTCGTCTAAAATGTCTACCAGAGTATCGTTATTTTATTTTTCTTTAGCGTACGTATTGGTAAGTTTTAGTATTATAATTTTTTAAAACCGTTATTATCAATTTAAATTTTATTAATCTTTATGCATTTTTCTTTATTAATCACAGTGTTTTGGAGATGCGAGTTTCTTTGGAATACCGAAATTATGTTTATGTAGTAAGTATATTTGTTAACATAGATTTTTAAAGTCAGTTTTAATTGTTGTTTGACTTTTATAACAAATTAGCAACTTTTATAATAAACATTTTAAACAAGGAAAGTTCTGTAAGTTAAATTTGTTCGGTATTATGAACAATATCATAGGGATTTGCACATCTCTTAGTTGATTCATATCTATCACAATAATTACTAGCTGAGACTTTTTAAGCTAATTAATGTAATGTGCTCAAATTTTTTTTTATTTTAATCTATTTTTTTCAGGATGTGGTTTAGTGCAGACTGAAAGACAAGGTATCCTATTTCGAAAAACGGCCGATGTTCCAAGTCAATTTCCATGGGTGGTTACAATAAACACTGGTAACCGAGTTGTTCAAGGATCATTACTAACAGATCAACATATTATTACTGCAGCAGAACCAGTCTATGGGTGAGTTTTCGATTTACGTTCTTATTATTTCAGTTGATAACCTCTAAATGTCCGTATTTATCCTGTTGCGTTCCCGTCAAATAATACAATTAATATTATATAGGTATTATTAAAGTTTTCTTAAATAAACTCACAGAAAAAGTTATTATAATGTTATAAAATTGTCTGAAAGAAAAGCGATAGATATATACGCCCATTAGTTCCTTTCTATTTTGCTTCTTACTCGTAGATATTTGGTTGTCTCTTTATTTTGTGATTAGTTCAATAGCTACTATATTTCATGCATTTTTTCACTAATTTAATTTCATATCTACTTTCAGGGTTCCTATCACAAATTTGACAGTAAATTTAGGAGTATATGATCGTTGTCGCGGCTATTCGGCGCTAAATAGTGATGTGTCAGAGGTGACAATTAACCCAAGTTACGCTCCTGCTAACTTGAATAATAATTTGGCACTGATCAAGTTGCGTTACCCAGTGACATTTAGCGATTCTATATCTCCTGTATGCTTACCCTATTATGGTATGTGAATTAGAGTTTTTATTATTTATTACAATAGGAGTAGATTCTCATTACCACTAAACCATAGAGAAAATCTTAGCTTTATTAAAATAGAAAAGGTAAAGGTCTGGTCTCTTAATTGGTCTCGGATCTGGTATCTTAATCTCAAACTTTTTAAAAGTTATCAATGTAGCTCTTGCCAAATATTCGGAGATAAATTTAGTTACCATTTATTAAATGCAACATTTAAAATTCTTATTTAATTACGAGTAATTTATTAAACAAAAAAGTGAAATAGTAGTCAAAGTAACGTAGAGTACTTTTTATTTATACTCGTAGTAGTGGCTAGCTACATTTTGCACATAATTACGGAGGTATTAATTTTTTTTTTAAATAATTGTATCATATTTATTTATATTTCAGGCTTGCAAGAATATGATCAAGTATGTTGGACGGCTTCCTGGGCATTAAGCTCTGCAAATGCATCGACTTGCATTCCGCGTGTAGCCACCGTTCCCACATTGCCGGCTGCAGGATGTTACCATGGCACTAATGACGATACAGTTACCCAAGACAAAGCTTGCTTCGTTCCTCTTGGTGCTGGAAGCATCCTTTGTAATGTAAGCTAAATATAATTTATTATATTGATAAGAAAAACGAGACAATTTCGCTAGTATAGATAACGTTGTAGATTGCACTAGTGAATTTTTACAGTGCGGTCTTCACTTCAAATCACTTTCTATCAGGTGGGCCTTCAGCTTGTTTGCCATAGTTGTATAAAAATAAAATAAAATTTCTGCATAATAAAAGTAACCTGTGTGGTGACAATTCACTATATTTATATTATAATTATGAAAAAAGGTTCCAATTATAAGACTAATTTTAATATCGAACCACTTTAAGAATTTTTTTTTTGTATTTATTTTGAACATTATTGTTTTCATTCCTAAGATTGACATCGGAGCACCGGTTCTGTGGCGGTTTTCATCGAGCTTTCCCTATCGGTTGGTAGGTGTAATATCATCTTCAACTACGTGTGAAGACACCAAAACACCACTCTATACGAGAGTCATTGACCATATTACTTGGATTAGAGATGTAATACAATCAGATTGTAACTGTATCTAGAATATTAACAGTGATAAGTATTTTAACAGATACCTAAGTTTAATAGGTATGTACTCGTATCTATTAATATTATGCTTTTCTTATCTTTGGGGTAAACAGAGATTATATGTTAATATCACTTTGTTTTTCATATAAATCTTTTTATTAAATAAATATTGGGGGTGTTGGATGCTTTAAGTTAATTTATTATTTATTTATTTATTATATGATAATTTAAATTTGTAATAATTTTATGTTATAAAAGTTTACTGCTTTTATTATTATGTAACTTATTATTTTTAACGAATTTCTACACAATATAAGTAGGTACTTTGTTAATAAAATGAATAAATAACATAAATTAATTTTGTTTTCTTTTTAAAACATATATTATCAAATTTATCAGGAACAAAAGTTTCATAAATATTTAGGTATACTTACGACTAATTATACATTTGATGACTTATATAATAAATTTAATAAGTTCTTTCAACATGCATCAACATTATATTATTATCAGTATTTACTATTTGTTTTATTTAAAACAACATTTTAATAATATCTATACCTGTGTGACTTCATACAGAAAATTATGAATCCAGAACAAAAATTTCATACAAATAATTAAATATTTATAATATCTGCTGTCGTTTAATACACTTGGTTGGTACAACTCTTATGGAATATTTTTAATCTATGATGTATTTAAATTCAATATTTATAATATACATATACTAGAGATAAAATTTTTAATTAATCAGATACCTAAACTCCATAGACACAAATTCCAATATTACTCATATTAAATGAAAATAAATATTTTTAAATACTATAAGGTTGTATAGGTGTGTGAGTGAGTAATATAATCATGTTATTTACTGATATTATGATGGATTGTAAATTATAAAAAAAAATGGGTAAAATACCTTACACGTGTGACGAAACGTAATTATTTCCGAAACATAAATTATGCATGAGTTGGCATCGTATGCCACTTGCAATTTTAATTAACTGAATTGAATTTATCGTCAAAGTAAATGATTGAAATAATATGACGATGAACGAATTCGTCCTTCAATGTGTGATGTTTCGTTAACTAAAAAATAAAGATTCATAATATCATGAATCAGTTATGGTTTTTAATTTGTTTAACTGTTACATTGGTAAGGTTGAATCACGATGATAAAATTTTACTTATTTTAACATTAAGGTAAAAATTTTATTGGTTTTGCAGACTAACTGTCAGAGGTTCAACAATTCGTGTGGTAATTACTGTAAAATTTCATATTTCATTTTGTCATAATTATTTGACATCATAATATTTAACTGACTTTAATTCTGTTTTTATTTGTAATGCATCCCACAATACATGGTGTACAATTAGTGGGGCGTATATCACCTGGGTATGCTCTTTTTACAAGTGGTACATAAGAGTAGATACATTGTATTGCCCAAATCTCTTTTAGTCTCTCCTCAGTTATTCTTGATGTGGTTCTTAGTTTCAATAATTACAATTGTAGAGTACAGTAGTAGATTTGTTTTCTCTATCAAGATCCTCGCAATATGTCTTCTTCAAACTCTGTAACAACATTCCTCTATAGACTGTTGTATGGGCATTATACTGAGGTCTGTTTATTACGTTAGGTATTCTATTAATTCAATAATTTCTGTATAGTTATTTAAGTAAGTATAGAATAGAGGTTTAAATATTTTAGCTTATCACATTTCTCCGCCAGTGAATCCTAAAAGCTAATTATCTAGCTGGTTTATTATATGAATACCAAAGTTTTGAATTATCAAGGACATATTTGGTCGGAACTACCGGTCGGATTTGAAGGTGCATGACAATCAGTTAAGGTCATAGAACATGGTTTGATGAGCTTATATGATGTTTGAAAGTAGATTTTGTTTAGTTTTTATTTTTTTTATCTTAAAAAAGAAACTGAATTTTTTATAGTATGTGTTATTTTTAAATTGGTACAGAATGTGGTATAGCTGGTAAGAACCGTCGTATAGTAGGAGGCACGACGGTGCAACCATATCAGTATCCTTGGCTCGTATCACTTATGTTGGGAGCGAAACTACATTGTGGTGGAGCCATTATAACAGACCTGCATGTATTAACAGCGGGACATTGCATTACATTTGGGTAATACTTAATTTTTTTTAGATAATACAATACAGATACAATAATTATAATTATTAAAAAAAAAACAATACATCTTAGTTCTAAACGCTACGATATACTTTTCTGATGAGACATTAAATCTGGATGAGATGATATTTAATAAAAAAATATATAATGCTGCTGAACAATAAAATACTATCACAAATTCACTTTATAAAATGTGGTACTCTTACTCACTAGTATTTATAGAAATTAAAGGAATTTTATCAATAGAGTTTCAAGAAAACACGAGTTTCAAGAAACAGCTGATAATAACAGTCAGTACTGGGAATGTAAATCAATATATTCTTGTTATTTCCTAGCTAGAAATAATAAAAGTGAGCTGCTATTCATATGACTTCAGAATTTTGTACTACATTCCTTTTCATTGTAAGAGGCGATAGTGGGAACAAAGCGTAAACTTTGGTGCAAGAGAAGGAAATTTTAAAATAAACCGTATAGCAAGCCATCTGGTCAATGTGATGCTATCAGCTTTAATCAAAATTCGGTTTTTAATAGATCAATATAAGTAGAAGACATAAGAAATTCTCTGTAAATGTGGTGATATTCGTTCGGTCGTTTCTGTAGCATAGTTTTTTTTTTATACAACCTAGAATGGCAAACAAGCTGACGGCCCACCTGATGGAAAGTGGTAACTGTCGCCTATAGACATGAGCAGTACCATGAAGATAACAGAGTATACTGTTTTGCCTATGATACCTCCCATGCGTTGCCATTCCTGAGAACTTAGGTGTTATTCCTCTGTACCTAGTAAATTCACGCCATATCCCACCCTTGAAACCGAAACACAGCCATGCAAACACAACTGCTTCACGGTTGAAACACGAATGGGATATTTGGTTATTATTGTTGATCGCAAGCTACTATTTTTATCTTCTTCTCTGATTATTCTAGAGATAGATACATGTCCGTATTACTGAGTAATGGATAGTTATTAAGGTAGTATTTTCATTAAATATTAATTTCAACTTTTAGCGTACATTATCGTGATCTATCAGTGCATGTAGGGATGCACGATCGTTTAGACAATACGTACGCTGTTCTACATGTGGTTAATGGAGTCAAACATCCATCTTTCACTTCAAACGCTGTCCGAGATATAAACGACATCGCCGTGTTAACGTTGAATAAAAGATTGAAGTTTACGGATAAAGTACGACCGATTTGTTTGCCAAGTGAAGGTATTGTGGAATTAATGTGAACCAATGGAGTCATATCTGTGGCGTCACTTGTTTAATCATATTTTTTAATGTAATATTCTATTCAATTCCCAAGGAGGGTTTACGTCAGGCAGGCCGGTCGTAAAACTAAAAACCGAAACTTCGTGTAATATGAATAAAAACAGATTACGCCGACCTCAAATAATTAAGGGCAGAAAAATAATGTGTTTTATGCTACGGTAATCGCTTACCATCAGGAGGGCCGTATGCTTATTTGCCATCTCGGTGGTATAAAAAAATGTGATGATGATTATATTTATACCTAATAAAGTAGTGCTTACTATCACTGAAGATTTAGTCATTAACAGGAATTAACACTTATTTAAAATTTTGGTATCCGCTAGATTGAATTCACGATCTTACAATAACTCAATTCTCAATGCAATAAACTCTAGCCAAATTGCATATATTTACAAAAATAATTTTAATCGTCATATAAAGCATGAAGAATTTATAAAAACTATTCAGAAGCTATTATATTATATATATTGTTATTTATAAAATGTGAATATAAAAGAAAAACAAAATAACGGTTTATTCAGTCTTCTTATCAGAAACCGTTCACGAACAATTAACAGATATTGCTCTATTATCATTTAGTCTGTATAATTTGGTTTCAATATTTGCATTTTGATACTTTTAGACATGGAATTTAAGGACGTGCCTCTGACCGTTGCTGGTTGGGGCAAAACTAGACAAGGGGCTCTGACGTCATCCAGATATTTATTAGAAACCAAAGTGCAAACAGTAGAAAGCGTTAAGTGTCAAAAGTCATCTATATACAAAGAAAATCTAGTTCCTGATACTATGATGTGCGCTTATAGTTTGGGCAAAGATGCATGTCAGGTTAGTATTTCATGACGATCATATTTTACGACGATTATGTATATTTATGTCCATCTTTATTGTCATATCAGCCATTAATTGTCCACTGCTATATAATAATCCCCCATAGACAGCCAAAAGGAACGGTCCCGAGCCACCTGCATCCATTGACTCAATGGATTTGAGGTCGTCTTTTCATCTAGTAGGGTGTCATCCTACACTGCGTTTGTCTGTATAAGAATTTTTCTTCTTCATTGATTGTCGTTATATCCAGTGTAGGCCTATTCTTTACTTGTTTCATTTGTTGTATTAAAACAGAATGAGACTCAGAAACTGTTGTGTATCGATGAGATCATGAGATGAATTATGAAAGTAGATAAAGCAGGAGATGTATTAGGAGAGAAGCCTTTGGTTTCGGTTCTCTTTGCTTGCTTTGTAAGGGATTTGAGATAAATGAATAGGAACAATTAAAATAAATGTCTAATTATAATATAATAATGGGCAATTTATTTACAGGGTGATAGTGGAGGACCTCTGTTTGCAACCAACAAAAAGACACAAAACAAAAAGTGGTATCAAGTTGGTAAGAATGAATTTTATTATTAAATTTTATATTCTGCATTGTCATGTACAGTGAATTTAAAATTTCATTGTAATTTCCATAGGTATCGTATCGTGGGGTATAGATTGTGCCATGCCAGATTATCCAGGTATGATTTTCATATTTGTTGGCAAATTTTTTTGACACAGTGCAGTGTTCTTAATATTACCACTATCCATCTGGTGGGCCGTCAGCTTGTTTGCCTTTCTAAGTTGCATAAAAAAAAAATTCAATTAGCTAAGAAAATGTAATAACAGAAACTTGTCAAAACATATATTATCATCTTGTGTAAATTTTTTGTAGTTGGATAGTTAAGGATCACATCGAAATTCATTATTGCAGTTATTTTACTGTATTCACAGTTTAGGTTTATAACAAAAAAATCTGAAATTAATAATAAGATCAAATTTTAATATATATATATATATACACACACATATATATATATATATATATATATATATATATATATATATATATATATATATATAGAGAGGGCCGAGACAATGTTGATTGTTTTTTTCGATGTTCGGGGGATTGTCCATCAAGAATTCGTCCCTCCAGGCCAGACAGTTGATGGAAAATTCTACGTCGATCAGACGCCTCAAAGCTCGTGTGGCACGAGTTCGTCCAGAATTGGCGCGAGAGGGGCGTTATACAATGCCCCTGCCCACACCTCTCTTGTTGTCCGTGAGTTTTTGAGTAAAAATTCCATTACGGTGACCGAACACCCCCCCTATTCGCCGGATTTGGCCCCGTGTGACTTCTTCTTGTTCCCAAAAACCAAATTGGTACTTCGGGGGCGGCATTTGGGGGACATAAATGAGATAAAAAAAGCTACGACGGGGCAGCTGAGAAACCTACAACCAGAGGACTTTCAAGGAGCCTTCTCACAGTGGAAACGGCGTTGGCACAAGTGCATTATGTCACATATATATATATATATATATAAAAAACTATTTATATATATATACCTCGTATATTAAAATTTGATCTTTAAATGAAATTTTTGTGTTTAAAATTAATTTATTTTAATCATAAGTTACATTTATTAAATAAAGAAAAAGTGTAGTAAGGAGGAAATAATAAACCTACGTCTATACGGCCCAAGGTCAAGAAGCAATGAAGCGTCTTAACGTTTGATTGACGCTCCATCATATTTAAACGGCTGGAAGGATTTGAATGAAATTTAGTATCTATATAGATGGACTATATCATTTAAGGAAAAACCAAGGGACATAGTTGTGACATTAGTATACGTAGAATTTGAACAGATGTTTTATATGGAAGAGTTTTTTAGTTTCGCTAGATTGTGAATTGCAATATCGGTTCTTTTAAACCTTGTTTAATTTTATGTAATGTTTTACTATATTATATTTTTTTTATCTTCAGGTGTTTATACCACTGTGGAAAAGTACATCCCATGGATAAAGCAACAGACTCGTGACGGCATATACTGTGTATAAGTGTATTTTATCGTTGTTTAATTAAATTAGTGTTTCGTAGTTAGGTACCTACATACTGTTATTGCAGTTAACACGAATATTCTATTTAAATATTATCCTGTTAGGAAATACATACAAATATGTTACCTAGAGTTTAATTTATAAGAGAATTTTATGTAATATTAATATTTATTATTTTTTCAATATTTATTATTTACGTAAATACATCACCATGCGGTATAATTTCATGCTGTTTCTTTTAATGAAGAATACAATATGACTGAAAATATTACATGCGTTAAAATATCATAAAGGAATACGATAAGAAAGATTACGAGTCAGAACAACTACAAAAATAAATTAAATTTGCATATTATATTGCGTTTTCATATTGGTTCCTATTGGATAAAAATTGATTAAAATACATATAGATTCTTTATAATTAGAAATATAAAGATTATTCAAATGGATATCATTATACAATTAACGCGGTAATGAATATGACAATTAAAAATTACTATTTCAATGTCCACAATAGAAATTATAACCCTAGGCGTATTAAATTTACAAGGACATTAATGCGTGGATAATTTCTTAGCTTGAAATCCGTATACACAGAACGTAAATAAGCAAAACGTATCCGAGGCAGCTTACAGTGGGTCGCCGATTTTCCTTCGGTGTGAATGCAGTGAATATCTAGGCTTTAATTATGTTATATATCGTTAGTATTGTCATAGGATTCTTTCAGGTTTGTACCGAATTATTGATAATCGATATCGTGTTGAATTTGTTTCAATTTCAATTGATCTTAATAAACTTATTTCTATTACATTAGAAATTAATGAAAACGTTACCAAGTTTTATTAAAATTGTCACAGACAACTCTTTAAATGAAATTGAAACATTCAATCGGTTAATCGAATTATGTTTTTTTTTTTTATAGTTGAAACAATTATTCGTTTGTTTACATTTTCATTATGTTTTATAGAAATAGATTATAGTAACTTTGTAACAGCAGAACTAGTGTTATGTTCTAGGTGGTGTCCACTTTGGATTCAAATGAATGTCGTAAGTAGTGTATTTAGAAACTTGTAAGTAAATACTTATAAGATCAGAAGATTATCATACACTAAAAAATAAATCTATTGAAACATTGGACGTCTATCATAGAAACCATAGTCATACATTAAAGCATACATAACTTTAATTACTTATAAGTAATTAAAGTTACAATTATGTATTCTTTTTAATTGAAAATTTATTTTAAATTAAAGTAACCTATCTATTGAAACATAAAATTTATGTTCAATTAAAATTATATAACATTTCCAATTGGACTTTTCTTATAAATTAAATTTAGAATAAATATTAAATTATATGCAATTATTTGACCAGAATGCGGCAAAGCGTCAGATTCAATAGTATCGATGAGGATAGTAGGCGGCAGGAGAGCGGAGCCCCACTCGTTTCCGTGGGCTGTGGCGACCCTCAAGAACAACCGTATGCACTGTGGAGGCGCCGTTATCACTAGTAAACATGTGCTCAGTGCTGGACATTGTTTTAAATGGTAGGAAATAACAAAATTAAGCATATCAATAGTAATAAAAAAAAAACGATAAAAAATTATGTGTAATATTATCTTTAGACAAGTGATAAACGCATCTAACAATAGATATGATTTCGTTACAATATACATGAGATACTTATTCTACAAGACAGCAATATTCTACGTCTTGTGTGAAAACTTATTCAATTATAGATACGATTGCTACGTATAAAAGGGGGTTATATACGCCCCCCAATAGTGAACTTATTTCAACATTTTGCTCAATGAAATTTGACTCAACTTCAGTTTTAATAATCGTTCATTTGAAATTCAATAAAACTTTATAATATTGTATGAAAATATTATATAAGTTGATATTATTTTTTTCTCTATGATGTCTATTTGTCTGTTTTATTTTCATAACACCTATTGTTAGTTTATTATAATTTCATATGAACATAAATTATAATAGTTTTTGTTTAGGTTAATTTCACATTTAAAAATAAACAAAAATATAAACAGTTTTATGTTATTCTAGGGATAATTTTAACACCATGAAAGTTCTCATAGGTTTGGATAATTTGGACAAATTGAATGGCGTCGTTCAGAGAAATATATCGAACGTGATAATCCATGAGGCTTTTACGTCGACAGCGGTTCGAGATGAAAATGATATAGCCATAGTGACGTTAAATTCACCAGTTTTATTTGGAGATACCATCGTCCCTATTTGTTTACCTAAACCAGGTAAGGCTCTTTTTTATGGGCGTGCAACCCCGCCTGCGTTAACGGTATATGTTGGCGGGGCACCAGTGAGGGATGATAGGTGAGAATGAAAAGGCAGGCCAGTTAGCCCATCGTGATGAATTCACCTGGAATTTGGCACGATGGTTTCCAGGGGGGACCATGTAGTAGTCGACCTGGTTGACCATATTGTTAGCAATGGTACTGGTAGTCCGCATTACTAACAATCCCTTCCCCCCAAACAGATAAGGATGCACGAGTATGTACCTCTTATCTGTTACTGAATAATCTGATGTATCTAATTAAAATGTCTATGCATTCACTCAACGTTATAGGTAGGCATTTGCCATAGCACTTGGATTGTAAATAAATTTTCAATCAAAGATCAAAGAATCTCAAGTTCCTAGAACTCCGTACGTGCTAGTATGGTCAGTATCAAAAGCTAATTAATGTATTAATATTTTTAAAACTTCTATAATCCGTAGTATTTTTTTTTAATGGATGATAATGGAATGGTGACTCCACCCGCGCTATCGGTGTACACCGGCAAGGCACCAGTGAAGGATGATAGGTGAGGATGAAGTAGGTCAGTTAGCCCATCGTGATGAATTCAACAAGAATTGTTTACAATGGTTTCCAGGGGGAAGCACGTGAAGGTCGACCAATCCGTAGTATTCATTTCTTATTTTATATGTTATACTAATTTTGCTTTATACTATATTTATCTAATTTGGATGTTTGTTGGCTGTTGCGTTGTTTAGTTATTTAGACATGTAGGTATGTAATAGTATTTACAGGTGTTAGTCTATTATATATGCCGTTAAGTATATAGGTAATCATCTAAGTATTAATTTATATCACCAACATGCCAGTGGCTAACTATCCAGTGCTGAATATAGGCCTCCTCCTATAAGGAGGTTTTGCCAGTAGTTGCCACGCTTGGCAGGCGGATTGGTAACCGAATTTAAGTTTTGGTGATGTTTTAAGAGGACCGCTGCTGCCCATCCCACATCAATCTATATTATATATATATAAAAAATAGCCACAGAATATGTTTCTATTTAGACAAACCTTTCGTTCATTACGATATATATGTCTTAGTGGAATGTTTTTGGTAGAGGTACTCTCGATCTTTGAGAGGTATTATAATTTAGACTCTATCTAAAATGCCACCAATAGGTTGTACCGTTTATCTATGTACATTCCATGTCTAATTTGTAGAAAAAAGCAACCCTAAATTACACGGAATCCAAATGAAAATATGATTATTAAATTGCGATTTATTGTTTTGTGTCTCGTAGGTATAGGTATATATTGTGTATAATTTTCTGTCCAGGTCAAGACTTTGCCGGTTGGACAGGAACTATTGTGGGGTGGGGTCGTATTGGTGTAGAAAAATCATCCTCGAGGGTACTTTTAATGGCTAGTCTGAAGATTTTGTCTGACGAAGAATGCATGAAGTCACAGTTGGCGCAACATCTGAAGCCTACAATGATGTGCGCTTTCTCTAAAGGAAAGGACGGATGTCAGGTATATTCCTCGTTTAGAATAAGGAATCTACTGGTGCATTTGTCGAGTGTAATTAATTGTCTCTATTCTACTAACAACGGATTCTAGGTTCACGTGCATAGCTTTTTAATGAATGTCTCGTGTTAAGAATCTAAATATAATGTTGGTTGCACTTTGTTTATTGTAGCAAGTAAAGCTTTATTTTATTAAGTATTTAGTGTTCTGTAAGCGAAAGTTAAAATACGTTACGACTTACATCACGACAAGTAATAATGAAAGTCTAGATTAGAAAAAAAAAAAAAATTTGGTGCCCTTTTTAACGGTTTTTGCCTTTGGTTCTCTATGCCTATCCCGTGAGAGACTTGGCGCGAAGATAGACACTTATTAATGTTAGTGGATTTATTATTGCTATATATTACATCATGCTCATTTCTTTTACAGGGAGATAGTGGAGGCCCATTACTGGTGTTTGGGACTGATGGAAGATACATGCAAGCAGGTGATTTAAACAACAAATTTTAATTATTTTATTATATATTTAAATATTTTACATTTTATTTCAATCTTGCTTTATTATTATAATTTTTAGGTATAGTCTCCTGGGGTATCGGTTGTGCAGATCCTAGGTATCCTGGTAAGTTGATATATCAAATAGCTGGTTGTTTTAATTTTATTATTAAGTGCTATAATAATTACAATACCATATACCGTTACTAGTCTATTGTTGGATTTTTCTTTTATACAACAAAATGGCAAACAAGCACGGCTCATCTGATGGAAAGCGGAAACCGTCGCCTATAGACATGAGCAATACCATAGACATAACAGAGATGGATATGACATATCCTTTTCTTATAAGGGTTTATATATAGTTATACCTACTATTTAGTGTATTTTTAATGGGTGATAATGGAATAGTAACTCCGTTAGCGTTAATGTTATATACTAAAGCAGTAGTAAGAGATGACAGGTGAAGGCGAAAGTGGGTCAATTTGCTCATCGTGACAAATTCTTAAAGAATTAACTAAAATAGTTTCCAGAGGAAACCACATGAAGGTAGACCGATAAGTATATTGCTGGTAATAGAGTTAATAAACCCCATTATTAAGAAACTTCCCTCCACTATCTATAGTGTTAGCATAGTATAATAGTACTATAATAAACTAAGAAGAAATTACACAAAACAGGTAAAGCAGTGCAGTACCTATGTGTGGGGGAAGGGGGAGTGTTAGTATATACCCTGTCAGATCTACCTCCATGCGGCTGCCCCAGGAAACCATCGTGATTAATTCTTGTTGAATCCTTCACAATGGGCTGATTGAGTTTCATCTTCATCCATCACTACTAGCTGGTGCCTGGTATACCGACAGCGCAGGCGAAGTTACCATTGCCGTTATCATCAACTAAAAATATATGTACCTATGTGTGCTATATAATTATAGACATATTTTTTATTTATTTAATAGGTACGAATTCATAATTAGAATTTTAATAAGATAATTTACAAACAAAATTCATGTATGAGTCAAGCTGTGAAAGTGAATACGAGTAGGTATGTAGTCTACACCACTTAAGTAAAATACAGGATGGCCCAAAAGTCCTTAGAAAAGTAAAATTTGAATTAAACGAAAACGGCGCGCGTGAGCGGTGCAGGGGAAGCGGGGGCAGTAACTTCGGTTTCTGGGAATTTAGTCGCGATGGAGCGTTTCACCGGAGCGGACCGTGCGTTTTGTGTGCGCGAGTTTTATCAAAACAACAATTCGGCAACCGTTGCGAGGCGTAAATTTCGAGAACACAAAGGTTTACACAACTTTGATGACATCCCAGCTCTCCAAACGATTAAGAATTGGGTTGCTAAGTTCAAGGAGACCGGTTCGACGTTAGATAAACCGCGGTTGGGTCGCCCAAGGACATCACGTACGGAACAAAACATCGACACAGTGGCACAATCTATTCGTGAAAATCCTACACAGTCAACTCGTAAGCGTTCCAGTGCATTAAACGTATCCAGGACATCGTTACAACGGATTTTGAAGAAAGATTTACTTATGCACCCTTACAAAATTCAGTTGGTGCAAGAATTAAAAGAAACTGATGCTATTCAGAGAGTGAATTATGCTAATGAAATGTTTAATCGGTTTACTTCGTTCAATAACATAATGTTCTCTGATGAGGCACACTTCCACATTAACGGACATGTTAGTAAACAAAATTGCCCGATTAATCCAAAACTTAAGCACCAGAAGCCCTTACATAGCCCTAAAGTTACAGTTTGGGCCGCTATGTCAGCCCATGGCATCATAGGGCCTTACTTTTTCGAGGACGGCAGAGGGCGTGCTGTTACTGTTACTTCGGAGCGATATGTGGCCATGATCGAGGAGTTTTTCACACAAAAATTGCAAAACTTTCCAGGCTTTAATGCCCGAACATGGTTTCAACAGGATGGAGCAACTTCCCACACCTCCAATACTGCTATGCCCGTTATCCGTCAACTTTTTCCAAACAAAGTTATCTCTAAGAGAGGAGACATTTCCTGGCCACCACGTAGCCCGGATCTGACTCCAATGGATTTTTTTTTTGTGGGGCTACCTTAAGGCTAAAGTGTACGACTCTAACCCGCGGTCAATTAATGACCTAAAAGAAAACATCCGCAGAGAAATGGCAAGCATTTCAGCAGTGACGTGCCGCGCAGTCATCGACAATTTCAGAAGGCGTTTGCAGGAGCGCCGTGACTGTAACGGATTACATTTGGACGACGTTATTTACAAAAAATAATTCCCGTTTTTCTAGCTATATTTACAAATAAAAATATTATTCATAGTGTAATTAGTTTTATTTTAATTAATTTTTTTCATTACTAAGGACTTATGGGCCACCCTGTATCTAACTTATATAAGTATATTTGTTCTTTAAACTCAATTTTTCTCTCCAGTCTAAGACACCTTTATTGAGGACAGAATATAATATGTTTATTTATAATGTTTTACAGGAGTCTATACAAAAGTTAGCAATTATATCGATTGGATACAACGACATACAAAGGACGGAGACAGGTGTTCATAGCTTTGCTGTTCGAAGGATAAATAATACTTATTTTAAAAATAAAGATATGAAAGTATTTGGCTATCTTATTTTTCTAATAGGTAAATACATTAAACCTCTCAAGGATCCAGCCCAAATAGGTTTCAAATTTTAATTACATATCTGGTTAAAGGAGTAACTATCTATAGATAGATAGATACTCTTAATTGTTTCCTCCAAAAGATTACAATAGTAAACTTATTATAAATATAAATAAAGAAATAATCACAATGAGAAAACAATGGGCGACCTTATCGCTAAGAGCGATAAGGTCGCGCTTACCCTACATAAGAGGGGGGAAATGGATTGTTAGTAATGGAGACTGAGAATCCCATTGCTAGCAATATACCCAACTAGGTCGACTTCCTTGCAGTTCTCCCTGGAAACTATCATGGTTAATTCCTGATGAATTCATCATGATGGGCTAACTGGCCTATTTTCATTCTCATCTATTACCCTTCACTGGTGCTCCACAAGCGTATACCGTTAGCGCAGGCAGGGCTACCATATCATTTTCACCCATCAAAAAAATACCCTACATAAGATCCTAAAATACCGTATATTGTATGTAATATAAAGTATTGAAACACGATCAGAAAGTTTAAAAAATAATACAAAATAAGTAGGTGCATACCTATTTAAAAGGCATAAACTAATTTTAATATGGCTCTGGTATCCTTGGGGTGGACTGAGCAATTGAGGTTGAGGTAGTAATGTACCTACTTGAGTACCTAATGTACGAGTTCAACGATGGCTAAAGTATGTCTGAAATGGCTAAACTGGTAACAGAAAAGGGCACAGTATACGAGGATTTACTTTTAGAGTTCTGTACCTAAGTCCCGTCTTGTCTGACAAGTTGCGTTCTATTTCAATAATTGTTAAAAATGCTGTTTGAAATTTAGAATAATTTTAGACACTGTTGGGTCCTGTTGCAAAATAACATTTTATTTTGCAACAAGATCCAACAAAGTCCAAAAATTACTAGGCATGAAAAGGCCTAGTAGTTTTTCGACTTTTATATAAAAATTTAAAAGAAAAAATTAGGTACCTCCCACCATTGTAGTTTGTGAAGCGAAAAATCTAAAATAACTACTATTTATAAAGGGTACAATAAAAACTTAAATAAAAGTTTTTTCAATTAGAATGACGTCTTTAACAGAACTAGTTCTTGAGAATTTAAGATTTTTTAAATATTAAATGTTAAGTACAGCTTTAAAGTATAGTGTTGTTGTGTTGTGTGCTGTTCAGTGTTGCCAACTTTTCACGTTCCATATCCGGCCTTTTTTCGTTCATCAATTTTCATCTATTTTTAATTTAGCATCTAAACACTAGCATCAATTTTAGCTTTAAATTAAAGCTAGTTAAAGTAATCAGATATGTCATATGAAAAATTCAGGTATCTAACGCGGCTCTTTTCTGTATAATTAGTTCCAAGGAAAAGTATTTATTAAAAAGAAAGTCGTCAAAAATGATTTGAAAATATTTTAAAGCCGTTAATGGTAAATAATGCTTGATATTTTTTAAATATTTTATACCTGTTAGGGAATTATGTGCTAGTAAACATATATTCATGATTTTGTATTGTAATAAAAGGCTAAAGAATAGATAAATAACAATGTCATTCAAATGTAGCTCTTACTTAATTTCGATTAGCTATAAGATTAAATATCAAGTTGGCAACACTGGTACTGTCAATTTAGTGATCTTGTATCTTTGTGTTGATTTAGTCAGTCAAATTAAAATAATTGACTTTCTATGAGTGACTTGCCCAGTGTGTTGTGGTCGTAATAATAAATAATTTAACTGTAAATCAAGAGAATAATTTACAATTTTTATAAATATTATGTTTAAATAACAAGAATACATAAATGTTAAAATGCCTAGCATTAGAAAATATCGACGTGATACAAGTGAAGTCAGCTGTTGTTTAAAATATGTAATATTTGGTGTAAATGTGCTATTCTGGGTAAGTTTATATAAATTTCTGTTCTGAATCGATTATTTACCTATTTGCTTTAATATTGTTTTTAATTTGTATTACATTCCATGATATGATCTGATAATCTGCAAGATCAACAACAATTATTCTCTCAAGGCTATATTCTTTCAAATAGTGACTGCATTCCATTGTAATAATTTTATTTTACATATCTGAATTAATGAGAACTCATAATTTTTATTTTATGAACTGTAGAAAATTTTATATTCAAGAGTTAAACAATTGCATGAAACTAGGCCACCATCATGTAACTGTACTATTGTAAAGAACTGTCAAAATATGTGTTACATTTTCGAACTAAACTACTTATTTCCTAAACATAAACCGAAATTAAATCATAGGTATGAGTATTATACCTAATCAATAGGTAATTTACATGAGGTACACTTTGTATAGAAGCCATTTCCATGGATACTCCTGGTCCATTTGTCTTGTGCTCCTGCTCTCAAACAGCTATGTTTGGATGGCTGTTTTGATTTGATGGGTGGGATGTGGCTGAAATTACAGGGTATGGTACCTACTATATAATTTCAGAGGACTAAGGTCCTTATGGATGGTAACTCATGAGGGTTCAGATAGAAGTCGCTATATATTCTGTGATGTTCATAATGTCTATAGTGCTGTTTATGTCTATAGGCAACAATTACTTCTTTCTATCAGATTTAATTAGGATAAAAAATATTTATTTAATGTTAAATTCAGGTTAATTATGGTTCATCTGTGTGTTTAATAGAAATCTTGGACTGATTTCTATTATTATATGTTATTTAATTTAATCAAATAACATACTGAAATATCTAACAATCTTTAAAAATTTTCATATTAATATTAATTGGTAGGATTAATTTGTATTCTTGTGCTTTGTGTACAAATTCAGTGATAAGTCTCTTATAGAGATGATTTTAATTTTGTACACTGCTTCAAAATAGTCACTACAGGCATTAAATTTATGGATGAAGCCTAGTATGGCTTGAGGAGGATCGCTATTCCTCTACCTGATTATAATTGAGTGTGTATTTGAAATGCTCTTAAATTGAAATGAATTAAATCATTACAAGCAATATGATATTTAGAATCATTTAAATTTTTTTTCTTTTAATATATGGTTTTATAATAAAATTATAAGCAATATGACATTTAGAATCATCTTCATTTTTTTTTCTATTAATATATGGTTTTATAGCAAACATCAGTTTTTCATGATTGTGTCTTTTCCCCCTGAACAAATCTTGTATGTAGGTTCAGTAAATAAAATAATATCAGTCATTTTAAAGTATATAAATCAGGTTTTTTTTTTTATTATGTTTATATATTAATAATTTTTAGATAAATACATCATGATGTTCTTATTATTGTTAAGTGTTTGTATCATAATTTTCCCAGTTCCTTGGACTGATTGTGTTGGCGGTAGGAGTATGGGCTTGGTCTGAAAAGGATACATTTAATAACCTCTCCAGACTTACAAATATAGCTCTGGATCCTGCATTTATATTAATATGTGTTGGTGAGTAATTATAATTCATTCAAGAGTATAAACTATGACCTTTCCATTCTTTTACTTTTCTTTTCTTAGCTTCATTTTGTAATTATACATTTTTGTAATAATAAATGAACTACTTGAGTATATTTTATTAATTTATTTATAACTCATTGAAGATAAAATAGTCATAAAATAAAAAAAAATATTAAATTATATAAGATAAATTGTACATTTAAGTTTTTTGAAAGTACAATGAAAGAATAATAGAAATGATTTTAGGTAAAAGTGTAATTTTGAAAAATGACACTTGGAATAGCACCAGCGAAAGCAATGGAACAACTAACATGAACCTACTTGACCTTTGAATTTTTATGAGATTTATTTATTTTACATAAACAAGTACATTGCATTATTGTGTAGGTGTATTTATTTACAATTATCATGGAACTTTCAAAACAATTGTTTTATCTATAACCATTATTTGAATTAGCATTGTGTTTATAGCAGTCAAGGTTTCTCAGGTGTTATTGTTCAAGGTAGGTATTTTATCAAGTTATGAGTACATTTGTGTATTTGTAACATTAATAAATAATATCATGTAATATGTATAGTTGTCAAACATATTATTTAAATCAGTAGGTTATCTACCTTTTGTTTTTCTTTACTTTAGAACCTTAAAATACTGATATTTATATTGGATTGTAATTCTTATTTATGATTTTTAATCATATATGATATCAAATCAATATCTATAATATTATTATTTTGAATTTTGATTATTGTATGAAAAACTAGCTGTGTCCTATGGCTTTGTTGAACTATAATCCTGTAAGTATGAATAAAGAAAAAGTGCATTCCAATTTCAAAATTAATATTTTGAATACATTAGATTGATAGCTATCACCTCAAACACTATTTTCCAACAAAGGTATATAGTTTCTTTTTATCGTATTAAAAAATAGCAAGATTTTGTACAAAAGTCATCTGCAAGGGTAACTCTACTCATTTTTCAAACACAGCCATGCAAGCACAACTGCGTCACAGCAGCAGTTGTGCTTGCATGGCTGTGTTTCAGTTTGAAGAGCATTTTTTTTATTATTTATTATTTTATCACTCATTAATTGTCCACTGCTGAACATAGGCCTCCCCCATATCAGTAGGTTTTATCAGTAGTAGGGGTTTTATCAATTGTAAGGGTTTTATCAGTTGTAAGGGTTTTATCAGTTATAGGGGGTTTTATTAGTAGTAAGGTGTTTTATCAAAAGAAGGGGGTTTTATCATTAGTAGGGGATTTTATCAGTAATAGGAGGTTTTATCGGTAGTTGCCACACTTAGCAGGCAAATTAGCAACTGCAGTTAGGTTTTAGCGATGTTAAAAAGGGACGCTGCTGCCCATTCTTCGACCGTTAAATTTTACTTCGCCTCTTACGATTTCCACGGGAAAGTGGTGGCCCACATAGGTGGTCCATTCTATGCTGTGGACCCACCACACGGCACGGAAATATAGCAGTGAAATTATAGGGTACGGAGGCATAACACCTTAATCTTCAGGAATGGCAATGATGAAATGTATTATGAATATTATAATATATTCTAAGATGTCCATTGCGCTGTTCATGCCTATAGGACTAGTATAGTATTATATTATCTGTGCTATAGGCGACGGTTACGACTTTCGATCAGGTGAGCCGTCTACATGTTTGTCAATCTAAGTATCATAAAAAAATAATTATCTAATTTGGATGACAATGTGAAAAGTGATGCGTGGCCATACATGTAAAAAAAGAAAATAAAAAAAATACGCTTGAGACCTTTTTCCGTTTTTCGGCAGTTAAAAAACAGTAGACGAGAAGAACTCAAAAGGAAATTTTGTTCGCTTACAAAAAGTCTTGTTTGCTTAGGCTATAATATGTATGTACTTAATAACAAACTCTCTCTTAGTCAATACAAGGAAATTTACTAGGAATTAGTTTTGCAAATTATAGAATTTGCAGCATACAAACTGGAAATAATATTATGTAATTTCTTTGTTGTAGGAACCATAACATTTATAATTGGATTTACTGGCTGCGTTGGCGCATTGCGTGAGAACACTTGTCTGTTGGCTTGCGTGAGTATTAACAGGATCTAAGCTGTACAATGTTATAATTAACTATTATATGTATGTACCTATTTTAACCTTTTATAGAGAATGTATGTACCTATTTAATTGGAGATAGTTATGCAGAAAACGATCATTTCTTATGGACATCTCAAATATGTCTTGTTTTCTTCATAAATAGCTCAAATTATTGTAAAGCAGATAAACAACTAGGCGGTAGAATAATAAATATTTTTTTTTTATGGATGTAAATGGTATGGTAATCCCGCCCGCGCTAACTGGATACGCTGGCGGAGCACCAGTGAAGGGTGATAGATGAAAATGAAAACAGGCCAGTTAGCCCATCATGATGAATTCATCAGGAATTAACCATGATAGTTTCCAGGGGGAACCGCGAGGAGGTGGACTTGGTTGGGTATATTGCTAGCAATGGGATTCTCAGTCTCTATTACTAACAATCCCTTGCTCCCCAATAATTACTATTAAAAAGTCGTGTAATTAAGTTTACTTGAATAATAAAAAAGTCTTATTCTTATGATCTGTGATTAGTTTGCCTTATCTAGATTTTTTTATTTTAGGGTTCATTATACTAACATTGACTTTGTATACTTATTACAATTAGATATGACAGATTATTATATTTTCTGATGAAACGTAGCTGCGAAATTAACTATTTCGTAACTACATGTTTAAAAGTTATATTGAAATTTAATTAATGAAACTTAATGATCAATAAATAATCAAGATTAATTGATTGAAATGTTAATTCCATTTCTTTCTACCAAAGGTTGTCTGGTAGAGAATGAGAGAAATAGCATTAAATTTTTTGTACAATAAATTTTTTTTGTAATGCTCCAAAAATCTCATATAGATGATAGTCATCCAGTAATACAAAAACTTATCATATAAATCAAGTTATATGGATATCTTTAAGAAGTAAATGTATCAATTATTGAAAAGACAAGTGTTCTAGTTTTTCTAATGAGAAATGAGGTCAACATCCAACTCGAATCGCACACGAATGCTATAAATAGAATCTGAATTATTCCATTGTAGGACTTGAATTACTTATAATTAATACTCGTACCGAATGAATTACTTATTATTATTTATTTAATTATTGTTTTATTTTCAGTATGCAGTGTTCCTTGCGCTATTGTTACTGGCAGAGATGACAACGGGAATACTGTTCTTTGTCTTTAAAGATTGGGTAAATTATCCTAATATTTATAATGGGTTATTTTATTTTTATTATTTTATGAATCCACTACAATTTTTCATAAGAAAATAAAGCGATGAACAATAATATGTTTCGCAGACATATTTAATATTTGAATTTAAAACCCTAAATTATGTATCTATAAGTAGATTTTGCTTTGCAACAACTAGTTTTTTTTGCACCGTAAAGAAAAATTACAGCTACAATCGTCATAAAAAAAAATATATAAGAATAAAACTCGTCGATTGATAATTCGAGAGAATTGTCAACATTATCTTGAAATTGGCAGTGTAAATCGCGTAACATAAGTACAAAAAAAAAATACATCTACACATAAATTTTAATTTTATGTTATCAAATAATATAATTAGTAAAAATATTTTTCAGATTAAACAACAAGCTACAAGTGGGTTCCAAACATTCATCACGCATTACAGAGAGGATCCTGACCAACAGAACTTGATAGATTGGATACAGGAGGACTGGGTAATTATGTACTTTTTGTCATTTTGTGACATTATTTTGGCAACGTTGCAATTATTTGTCACAAATATTATTGTTAATAAAATCTTCATTTTAATTATCTCAATTTTTATACACATAATTTGGCATAATTTACATATAATATAATTTAGCCGTATAATCCCAGTATGGAATAGGCCACCTCTTTTTTTCCATGAGTGTTGTAAGAAGCGACTAAGGGAACTTAATGGTCAAGGGATGGGCAGCAGCATATCTCTTAAAACGTCACCAAAACTTAAATTCGGTTACCAACAGAGGGAGGCCTATGTTCAGCAGTGAATAGTTATTGGCTGATATGGTATGTAATTTAGTGTTGTTACCTATTTAAATTTTTACCTGTAGTATATTTGTAGTCATCATAGAAACATGGTGGTTCGAAACTATAAATTGTATTTACTTATCCTCCAACTAGCCAAGCTAAATATCTGATAAGCTCTAATATATTTATATATTAGAGTTAATCACCTGTATATTTTACAATGTTATAATAAGTGGGCGGGTATTAATTAAAAAAGAAATATATATAGGAAAAAAGTAAAACAAAAATCAACAATATAAATACACAAGCAATTATAAATACGAATATACTCAATTCAATATATTTATATATTATTCTATATTTAAAATTAATGTATACATTCAAATAATAATTATTCTTATTTAAAATTGCTTTCGTAAATTTCGATTTTAATCTTCACACAAAACCATATCAATTTAACCTTTTGAGTGCCGACGAGCGCCATCACGCTCGTGCGCATTGCAACTAAAAGTGCCACGAGCGTCATAGCGCTCGTGAGATCAGTCGCTGTTTAGTTTGCTGTAAAAAAATATTAAAATTGGATAATTTTTGGAGGAGATACAGTTTTTTTAGAGATAAGGGTAAATGAAATCAACACGACAAAGATTTCTTTGGCATTTTTAAGTAGATATGAGTAAAAATCAATGGCACTAAATCGATTAATGTAAGAATAACTTTAGTAGCATTTAGTATTTAGAAAAAATATAGTTTGTTTGATTCTTAATATAGATTGAAGTATTCGCTGCATGTATTAAATAACTTTCTCTGGTAACAATCAAAATTACATTCCTGACATTTCATTAATCTATCCATGACCATATACCACATTCATTCATATCAATACATTATGATCATTTATTTATTTATTTAACTCTTTATTGCACCATAAATAAAAATATACAATGACAAGTGAATAAGTCAAGTGAAATCCAGTAACATAAATACACATTGAAATATACACATAAAGGTACAAAAGGCGGTCCTTTCTGTAGAGCAATCTCTTACAGACAACCTTTGGTTAAAGGAAAACAGATAGAAATAGGCAGGTGGCGCAAGAGTGAATTAATAATTTTTTGTAATCATCATCATCATATCAAACTTTGATTGTCCACTGATGAACATAAGCCTCTCTCTTGGGGGGTTTTGCCAGTAGTTGCCACGCTTGGCACACGGGTTGGCAACTGCAGTTAGGCTTTGGAGATGTTTCAAGAGATACGTTATTGCCCATCCCTCGCCCTCCCTTCGTCAATATATCAATACGTACTTTCTTTAAAACTTTACCTTGTACATTTTCTATCGTGTGCATAATATACACGTCATTGGGGCTTCTTTCAAATTGCTTTATTTAAAGTTTTTTTTGTTACAACTTAGAATGGTTAGACATATATATATATATATATATATATATATATATATATATATATATATATATATATATATATATATATATACGAAACACAGCCATATATAGCTTTATGAAACACTTTGTCATTGGTACCCAAGCAATTCTTTTGTACAAAGTCTCTCTCTGGTAAAATAGATATATAAAAGATATTTATTGATCTTTTCCATCCTTGACAAATAAGAGTACTATTAAACATAATCTGAATTTTTAGCTCCAGTGTTGCGGTGTCGAAGGTCCCCGGGATTGGGATCGGAATGCGTACTTCAATTGCTCAAGTGGTGCAGTGGGGTCCAGGGAGGCGTGCGGTGTTCCGTTCAGCTGCTGTCGCAGCAAACCGCAGGATATCATCAGGAATAAACAGTGCGGATATGACGTCAGAAAACCTACTTACGTTAGTATTAATATGATGTTTTTCGCTTAATATTGTCTTACTGATAGTGATGATATAAAAAGAAGGATCCCAGATATGATTTCTTTATCTGAATGTAAACAAACCATAACATGGCTTGTAATATATCGTACAACCCGCCATAAACTAAAATTTCATCCCAACCATCTATTCCTCCACCTTGCGTTTTTCGCACTTTCTCACACGTACAACCCTCTTTGGAATCAACTTCCAGCAGCAGTATTTCCGAACCGATACGACAACATAACCTTGATTTTTTAAAAGGCCGGCAGCACACCTGCAATGCCGTTAAACGATAGTCACTTACCATCAGGTGAGCCGCATGCTCGTTTGCTCCCTGTGTTGTAAAAAAAAAATATTCGAGATTACTTACTGAATTCTGTACTTTTATGAGTCTTTTCTATATAGAAAATTTATGATAATTTTATTTGTTAATGTTACTAGACGTGAAAATATTTGAAATGAACACAAATGAATTAAGACACTGAATATTATTGCAAGAAATTTGTTTTTTGAATTCCATCCGCGTGACCAGTATATATTGTTTAACCACGATGAAATCCACGGTCGCCTGAGTCCTCCGTTCAATTATGACGAGTATAGACAAAAATTACTATTGGTCAAGTGGTAACAAAAACACTATTGAATTTATGGTATCAGTAAGGATATATAGGAATAAGGAATTTACTATTAATCATCGATTTTAATGGGTGAAGATGGAATGGTAATCCCGCCAGCGCTATCGGTATACACGGACCTGCCACTAGTGGAAGATGATAGGTGAGAATGAATGCAGGTCAGTTGGCCCACCATTATGAATTCGACAAGAATTAACCATGATAGTTTGCAGAGGGAACCGCGTGGAGGTCGACCTGAGAGGGTATATTGCTAGCAGTGGAGTTATTAGACCTCATTATTAGTAATCCCTTTCCCTCCAATCATCTAGGTTAAAAAGTCCACCTTGTAATATAAATAAATTTGACTTTATTTTCCACGCTTAACCTCTCATTTGGGCCATTGTGCGAAGCCTGAGCCCACCTTAATGAATTATAGTAATATTCACTTTGTATAATTCATCGAATTTAATAGGCCTTTCGCGCTGTAGGCCTAATATTTACGCAAATCCTATTATGATACATTTACAGCGGGGTTTTTAACCTTTCTGATTTAATAGTGTTGAAGGTTAATTTATTAATGGGCTTCTTAATAATATACATTTGCAAACTTAGCAAGTATCAGAGCGTGTGATCCACGAGCGCGGCTGCCTGGCGGCCGGCGAGGACTGGCTTCAGCGGCACTTCGCGCCAGTCGCCGCCATCCTCCTCGTGCCGCTCGCATTGAAGGTTCAGAACCTTCTAGAATGACCTATAGCTGTGTAGAATTGCGTTTGTGCTGTGTAGTCCTAAAAGAAAATATAAACGATTCAATTGCACCAAGGAAATTGTAACATACAGCCGTTCAACATGAGTATAATAATTTGTGCTTTTTTTTTTTAAAAAAAAAACATTGTGCTGTTTTGTTCGGTCGTTTTACTGTACTGTTATAATATAATACGTATTTTTTTTATTATATCTATTTTTATTACCTTATAGAAGTGATATTAGGTGTTTTGACCTTGTTTATATTTTCTGAATCTGCAACAAAGCACGGTAGATAAATAGAGTGTTACTTATAAATTCCGGGTGACCTTCAATCCGTCTACCGTTCATATTAGTCCTAGCCCGTATATAGCGAGTAGCTTGCAGTTTTTGTACAATAGTTTTTTTTTCTTTTTGTTGTAGAGTTTTGATATAGGTAAGATTATATATGACAAAGGCTGCCTAGAGGCCGCTGAGGAGTGGTTTGACCACAATCTGTTGATTGTAGCTACGTCCGCTGTTTGTACTGCTTTTGCACAAGTAAGTTTTATATTTGCACTACTTTTTTATCAAGTAGCCGATAGAGTTAAGACCGAATCCTAGGAAGAGAGAGAGAGAGATCACTCTCAATTATAATTCGAAGTTTATATATAAAATTTATGTTAAGTAAATTTTTGAGAATGATATAAATTAGTGTCACAGGACTATATCAGTATAGAAGGATTTATTATTTAATTAGCTTATCAACTATTAAGGCATGTAGTTGTATAAACTTTTTTTATACTCCAACAATCTCAGGGTGTCTTTGTATCGAATTTAGTTAGTTAAAAATAAAACAGCCTAATAATTTTATATGTATTAAACTGCAATAACTTTATACAACACACTTTTTCTTTAAACTATTTGTTTATGTTCTGTTATGTCGGTAAAAAGACATGCTGAGATTAAATTTATATTTATGGTAGCCTAACGAAGACATCGTTAGATTTCTAATAAAAAAATGCATTAAATTTGTATTTTTTTATTTTGTAGTTTGCTTCGTATTTTTTTTTGCATTCACATAAGGTTTATTTTACAAATACAAATTTTTATATGTCTTTTAATTTCTTGTATTTTTATGAGATAGGAATTATAAAATGTGTCAAGTCAAGCTTCTGTTTTCTTTGCTTTTGATTCTGTAATTTAGGTTTTTGACTTGACTGCTCTCATGTATATAATACTTTTTGATAAGTAATAATTCTCCATTTGTTAATTCTCTATTGTATTTATGTTAAAAGAGATAGGTTTTAAAGTATACAATGCAATCAAAATATTACTTAATACGAACTTTAGTGATTCAGATTTATCAGTTGTCACTTACACGTCACTTACGTCACACAAATATTAAATCATTTACCAGTGTTTAATCTGAGTTATGTACAATAAAGATTTTACAATACAATAAAAATATAATTTTAGTGGTTTTTCGAAACGGGTACAATTTGAAACCGTATCTTTTACACTGTAGAAGATGCAGTGGTGTAGAGTCTACACTATGCCATAATTTTTTTATATAATATTAATTTAGTAATATTTTTATATCAGCTTGCATTTATGTAGTATATAGTCAAGTATTTAATCTTTAAAAATGTTTAAATTGATATAATGTTTATTATGTGCAGATATTGGGCATCTGTTTCGCTCAGAACTTGCGCGCGGACATTTTCGCGCAGAAAGCGAAGTGGCACTGACAGTCCGCCTCTCCTGCCGCCGTGTGACGTCACAACCACACACTCGACCCCTATACCGCGCTGTACTCCATGTTTCCTCCCCCGTTCAGGAATCCTGTACGAAATTAAACAAGTACTTGATTAAAATATACCTATAAAGTCTCCAACAATTTTACAAATCTTTTCCTTATTGTTTATCAACTAAAATGGTTTACAATAACAATAAATCTACAGCAACCAACTGCTTTATCTTGATATTTGTTCTATTTGATACTAATGGCTAATATTAACTGAACAGCGAATGATGGTTTGTTCTGAGGCGACGCCGCTATAATTGCAAAATATTTTATCTGTACATGTATGTTTTAAAGGGTTGTTTTCCAAGTTTATTTCTCTATATGTCTGGTTAGAATATATGTATTTTATTGCTGAAAGTTTCGTATGTAAATTATAGTTGAACTATAAGAGAACTCGCATTGACTCACGTGTCAAGAATGCGGGTGTAGTTTTGGGACCATACAGAAGGTTTAATTATGTCCCATGCGAGTCAATTTGGTTAGTCTTATTGTTCAAATATGTAATTGTATTTTTTTTTTATATACGATAAACTGATTTTACTTTATCAATCAACTTCATATACTCTTTAAATTTTAATTATTCTTATGAAATATAGCATAACAAATTGCTAATAAAGCAATTTGTTAAAATTTGAAATATGATTTGGTGCTTTTAAAATAAATATGACTGAAAGGATGTCCTGCAAAACGATAGTACCTGACAGTTCTTATTTTTATATATCGATAAAGTTGATTCTAATGGTACTATAAATTTAAATTTTATACTTTGATTGCAAGGCATAAGGTTCATTATGGTTTGCAATCAAATTATATTAAATTATATCGAATAATTACAGATCTGAACTGGTACACACTTCTATCAGTAAAGTGTTTAGTGTTTATTAAAAACAGCGCATGAACTCCGTTTAGTGTAACTTGTTAAGTATAAATGAATTGGGACGTTACTAGTAATACTAAACACTTTAATAAACTCTAGTGTGTAATAGTTATAATACTATTTGTATTTATATATATGTTTTTTTTAATACTTAGCAGATATGGTAAACAATTTTTATCACGCATAAAAACAAATGGCTTGAATAAAAGATTTTTTTATGGATTGATTATGAATGTATTGTTTTCGTAATATTATTTAATAGTTAATTAAAAAAATAACAATGATAGATATGTTCTATTTTTAAATGTCTATATAAAATTTAAAAGAAAAGTTGTGTACTAAATATGCCAAGTATGAGAAAAAATATACACTATCCTTCCGTTTCCGTATTATGTTATGGATTTTCTCATTTAGCAGGTTGCACAATTTAACTACGACTACAAAAACTATTTTTGTTAAGGAGCTTTCTGGATATGTATTTCAATATCTATTTAATACATATGCCAAAATTGTGCGTAAAGCATCAAATAATGTGGATTTATTGTATTCATATAAATCTAAGCAACAAAATTATGTTCCGAAATTGACCAGTGGCTTGAATTCCACAATAATTATTTGAATTCTTATTCATGAATGGTGCCGATTTTAAAGTCGTTTAGTTATAATGTTGAATAACTTCATAATATTTTATTTATTTATTATAATTAATAAATAGTTAATATAGTTTTACATGTATTGAATAGATTGTTATTGTATTAAAACTTAACACAATACAGAGAAATATAAACAGAATTATTTTTAAAAAGGTCGGACAATTGATCCAGACTTTGCAGTTCTTATATGAGGAGTGAAAAGTCGCTTAAAAATTATTCATAATATGTAAAATAAAACTATTATGTACTTTGATAAAATTTATATTTTCTTGACTTTAATTGGTGTACCAAAATCGTTTAGAATTCTCACAAAGTTATTAATTAAAACAACAATGTTAAAATAATTCGACTGATTTATATAATTATGTAAAAAATATTATTTTAAATGTTTCGCTAATGTGGAATGTAAGATCTCAAAATTTGAATCTTAATGGCTTACTTATCACTTTCTGGATCTGAGATGTTAAGATCATTTGGCACTACCTGTCTACTTTCGATCTATCCTGTCATCTTGGACAACCTGAAGAATGTGCCTGTTAAATCGTAAGATGTCAAATATTGTTAGAATTATTCAATGTGTATTGTCCTAATGATGTACAGTCAGCTTTAATATTGCTTTCATAAAAAATGCTTTATTATTCTTATATCAGCCGTTAATTGTACACTGCTGAACATAGGCCTCTCCTATAAGAGGGGAAAAAAAAAACCGTAGGTAATATTAATTCAATGAAATTTATTTGTTGACATATTTGTAAATAATAACGTTATTACAGAAATGTGTATGTATATATTTTTATATTGTAATAACGTATTTCGCTTGAAGATTTTTGACTGAAATTTTGTTTATTTTTTAGCACATTTGTATAGTTTTTATTTATTACCTTTTTATAAATTTATCTTTAATACCTTACTATAAATTTATTTATATTCGTTACTAACGAATTTCGATGAGATTTTATTCTTACTATATGCCTTATGTACGATGTAATTGAAATTTTGTCGATAATTGGACATTTGGATTTCTTAAGAACCAAAGAATTTATTTAACATTTTTTTTTAATGTAATGTTTCTTTTACCCCAATAATAATAATAATATTTTTATTAATTATAATATGAAAGTCTATATTAGAGTTGATTACATTTAAAAGCGATGTGTTCAAACATTGGCCAATTAGCAACTAGCCTTAACGGGAGCTGTGAGATGAATTTAGTATTGGAATTAAAAAAGTATTACGCATTTAAATTAAAACGTTGTACTTTTTTCTGTGTCGAATGGGTTGCCGCTACTCGGATTGTATGTTTAATAATTTAATGTAACATACAGCAACGATGCGTGAGACTGGCATTTATATGTATACATTTATTTTTTTATATTTAATATTAATTGAATAAAAAAGACTAAGTTAATGTGATGATCAAAAAGTATCAGCCGATTTAGTAGTTTTTTTTTTGTAGAGTGGCAACCCTGTTAAACATTAGTATATTTGATGATGAGGGAAATTTGAGTTTGAAGCGCATAAACTGGGTCGTAAGCAAGCAGCAGGAGAATAATAGCTGACAATATAAGTTTTAATGTACTATAGACATAAGAATATTATTAAGATGTGTATTAAGTATTAGAGATTAAGAAATACTCAATGGTATGGTTCCATTAATTATATTATAGTTACTATTTAAATGTTGCCAGATTGTTTAATGGATTAGGCTCTTGAAACATACATATTATCATATGTTATGAATATTCATACGAGGGATTTTTAAACCGAAATACAGGAAACGTCTGTATATGTTAAAGTAAACATATAAAAATAAATACGTCACAACAATTACAGGGTAGTGAAATAATAAACTTTAATTATCGGTTTTTCATTTTTCACTAGAATTTTAAGTGTTTATAGTATGTATAGTAAATTAAAATGATAAATATGCAATAAATTTCCTGTTAATACCATGGAATTTAACCCTCCTTTGCATGTTTTTTTTTATTGGTGCAATCAAAGTCATAATCAAAGTGATATAATTAATGTTTAAATTTAAAGGAAAAATGGTTAAAACAATAAATTTGACAGTTATGTTTTTTCTTTTTGCAATGGACATTAAAAATTTATCCAGACACAATCAACTTAAAGTGAACTTCGTCTTTTATATAAGTTTTAGGGATTCAATGTTATGATGGAAATTTTCACCAGTATGCAATGAAAGGCAAAGAAAACACAATAAAGTATTTCGAAAAACTTCAAAAGCATAATATTTTTTTTTATTATTTAATTATTATATGTTTATATGTGTGACTAGTTATGTAATTAACGTTTTAGGCCAATAAAAAATTTGTCATGATTTTTTTTAATCCATATTTCTTAATTGGTTTTATATGACAGTAAATACAGACGTTGCCAATATTCGGTATGAACGCTCTCGATTCGTAATTGAAAGAAATATTAAATAGCACAAAATTGATAGCTTTATAATGTTAAATATTGTTTGATATTTTGTTGTATCAAGGGCTAAACTTTATTCAGCTCAAATATTTACACAAAAACTTTGATTTGTTATAAAGTTTAATAAATTATTATTTATGCGTAATATATATATGTTGGGAATATATAGAATAAAATCGAAGGAATCTCACGCTGAATCGTGAATAAAGTAGGCATTCATACTTCAATAAACATGTTTCTCGCATGAACGCTTCACGTGCCTGATTGTTACGAAGGAGTTATAATTTGTCGCTCGATATTGTGATACGCAATGTTAAATGGAATATGCATTATATTATTGTTTCCATGTACTATAATTATTGTAACTTTGAGTCACTGCCTTATTAAATTTAATACGCCATTGCTTTTTATAATATTTTGATATGAAATGTTTACGTAATAAGATTATGTCGTGCTAACAGTATGCTTAGAATATAAAGGATAACATTGTACTCTTTTGCTTTGAAATATAGATGGTTCTTGTTAAATTGTAAGTGAACAGTATTCATGATTATGTACTGAAGAAATTATTCCAACTTTATATAATGTATCTATATAGAATAGTGTAGAAGTTTAAATTTATTTTAAAAATGATTTAATGTAAAAGAATAATATTTTATACTCAAATAAAATTATGAGCAAAGTACTTTTTTTTATTGTATTAACCGTTTATTTTAATGGGTGATAATGGAATGGTAACCCCACCCGCGCTATTGGTATATACCGGCGGGGCACCAGTGAGGGATGATAGATGAGGATGAAGCAGGTCAGTTAGCACATCGTGATGAATTCAACAAGAATTGTTCACGATGGTTTCCAGGGGGAACCACGTGGAGGTCGACCTGATGGGGCATATTGCTAGCAATGTCGAACTCCATTGCTAACAATCCCTTTCCCCCTGTATCAATCGTTGACTGTCCACTACTGAACAGAGGTTTTTTTCATAAGGGGATTTTTGCTATTAGTTGCCACGCTTAGCAGGCGGGTTGTCAACCGAAAGGCTCAGATGGTGTTTTAAGAAGGACGCTGCTGCCCATCCCTCGACTATTGATTTCCTTTAGTGCCTCTTACGACACTTACGGGAAAGGAAAGGCTGGTCCATTCTATGCCGGGACCACACGGCAAAGCAAGGGATATGATCGGTTATTCTTCTAAGTATTTTTCATTAAGAATAATATTTACAGTTCTATTCGCTTTCTATGTCTATCGTTTTGCGCAAGTCCTTCATCTCGTTATCTCGAAATATATTTCTAACAATATCAAAGATATGAAAATAGAATGGAAATATTTTAAATCTATGATAATGACTCTTAATAAGGCAGGTATTGGTGACAGTACGTAATTCTCAAGTTTCGGTATTGTATAGAACTAGTTTACCTATTATATATATATATATATATATATATATATATATATATATATATATATATATATATATATATATATATATATATATATATATATATATATATATATAAATATCTTAGTATTTAATGTCCTAAGTTGGGATATTAATATTGATAGATTAGTTAGGATTCCTGATCGAATTATCTATGGACATAATTTTTTTTTTTGTGTGAGGGTATCACTCTGGTGTTGAGTTTCCGGCTTGCTTTTATTAAACATGATGGTGTGATTTACTGGACGATTTTTACGTGCGATGTAAGAATTAAGTGAACGTAATTTTTTTAATTACGTAAATTAAAGAAATCAAGTTTAGATTTAGGATCCTCGGACCGGAGCAGAGCGTTATCCGATTGACTGTTACGGATACGCTTTTGAAAATATCCACGGGACCTCAATATGGTGAATATGCGGGCAAAGCCCCATGGATTTAAATTCGTGAATTCATGGATTAGAGTAATTTATATCCATGGGACAGTATTTTGCTTTTAATGGAAAATACTAATGACAATGGGATCGATTCTGTACTAAACTACCCTAAACTTATCTATAAAATTGTAAATTTTAGGTTTAAAATTTGATGATAGTTTAGTATAACAATTTTTTTACTGGATGATAATGAAATAGTCTGCCCCGCCTGCGTTATCGGTATACCTATACTGGCGAGGCACTCGCCATCCTCACTTATTATCCCTCGCTGAGGGATGATAAGTGAGGATGAATTCAGGTTAGTTGGCTCATCTCGACAAATTTGACAATAATTATTCATGATGGTTTCCAGGTGGAACCGCGTGGAGGTCGATCTGACAGTGTATATTGATAACAATGCTTCCTTTACTAATAATCCTTTCCCCTCTAATAAAACTATTAGGGTATGGACCATTGAAAATTAAATGTAAAACATTTCAGATACAATTCTATTAAAAAAATGTATATACTGTTCCTTAGAATAAACATTTCACTGTAATATAAAAGTAATATAAAAAAAAGTAATGTAATATAAATTATAATTTTAGAAATAAAGAATGGTGCTGCAGAATGACTCCAGTATGTAAATGCTTTGAAAATAGGCACTCTAAATGTTCCTTTTTAGTAGATATATTTAAATAAAACAAAAATTGAGGAAATAGTAGAACGTGCATTTAATTTTCGTAGACTCATTATTTTCTAATATAATATTACACGATTTTTGCAGATTTTATTTTGAACAAATATCAAACGAGTTTTTGCAATCGACATACTTTTCATTTATATTAGTACCGACGATAAATTTTGTCTGGGACATGTATTTTAGTGCAAGTTTTCTTTTCGTCTAAACAGCACGTATCGCATTAAAAGAACAAGATCTGCCACTAAGTATAGTCTAGCTTTAGTTATTTTCGTTACATTATGTTAATTATATTATAAATACACAAAGCGTAGGCAAAATTATCTCGGAATTTTACACAAACTGAGGGTCTTTCAGCAATGTTGTACACAACAGTGTTAGTTGTTCGACACGTACGTACCGTAAAGACTAATATGTGTGACAGAAATGGTGCATTAGTTTTAGTTAGGGCAGCCGCTCCAAATGGACTCGGATGCGACGAATTGTAACTTAAACACCTTCGAGTCACGTAGGGGACACTGGCGACTATATTGGAACAATAAGACACTGAATTGCGTTTATTTTTCTATTAGGTAGATACTTTTCACTTAAGTTGTGTGCGGCAAAGTTTACTCACTCACGTAGACCTTATTTTTTATATTTAATTGGATGAAAATTACCACCTTAATCTTGTTTGTGTTATCGGTATGTACTGGTGGAGTATCAATGAGTGTTATACATATGGAGGAAGTCAAGTGAGCTGGCTCACCGTGACGAGTTCTCCATAGAAATACACAAAGATTAACTTGATAGAGAAGAAGAAGAAGAAGAAGATGGAGCACTTAGATTGTTATTAGATTTATTAATCAAACTTACTCACATAACCAAGTCTATACAGGTTCAGTACCTATCTACCTATATACATTTTTACTTTGGTGCTCGAGTTACGAGTTATACAAAACAAGTGGGAACTTGTTGTTACCGCTAAACAGCTGTATTTACACGGCTGTTTGGATTTGAAATTATAGCTTTACATTTATATCTTAAAGAATATTAGTCAAGAATTTTCCGAATCGGTTTAGAACTGACGGAGTTAAGAGGTATAAAACATAATCGCATTAAGAATCAGCTATTTTTGAAGTCGGTTGAAAATAAATCAAATTTCTCTATGCCCATCCAAAATTTCGTAAGAACAATTGTTTTTACCCAAAATTGTGAAAAAAGTACCCAATTTGGCAACGCTGTTACTTGTAATATCTGTAAGGTGGGGGGGTTGGGTATATTGCTAGCAAATCCCATTGCTAGCAATATATCCAACCAGGTCGACCTCCTCGTGGTTCCCCCTGGAAACTATCATGGTTAATTCCTGATGAATTCATCATGATGGGCTAATTGGCCTGTTTTCATTCTCATCGATCACCCTTCATTGGTGCTCCGCCAGCGTATCCCGTTAGCGCAGACGGGGTTACCATTCCATTGTCACCCATTAAAAAAAATGTAGGCAAGGTATCTATAGGTATATAATAACTAGAAGCATTTTAACTACCTATAAGAGTTTAAGTTGATATGTACCCTAAAAAATCACAGTAATCCCATACTCCTGGAACCAGAACAAAGTCAGAGCCGACCATTATGCATTCATTTTTAATTATTTGGCCCATTAGCCGTCAACATGGCCGCCTTAATCCGCTGTCGGGTTTAAGTCCTGTTACAGATTTTGGGATCACTACCTCTACGGCGGGCAGATGGCACCTAATTTGTTACTACGTTAATTCCAATTGGCAGAGATTCGGATGGGCAATTTCAAATTAACAAAGTTTATTAGGTTTATTTGTTTCCATGTAAATTTGTGTTAAAAGTATTCAATATTATATGCAACCTAAGATATGGTCTGTGTAGCAAACTTTATTCAAATCTGTCCAGTTCTTTAATTGTGATTGAGTGATAATTAAATGTCTTTAGAGATTTTCACTTTATAATAGCAAGATCTATATATTGTTATAGGCAGGTTACAGGAATGGCAACAAATGAAGGGTAGCACGGGCGATACAGTATACTCTGTTATGCCCATGGTACTGTTCATGTCTAAACGTGACGGTTATTGCTTTCTATCTGATCGTCAGCTTGTTTGCCATTTTAAGTTGCATAAAAGAATTAGAATTTTAATTCCAAAGATTATATTTACTATTTGTAGTAGCTTTTTTTTAAGAAATGATAATATAGGGATAATCCCGTGTTTATTGAGTATACGTTAGTAAGGTAACAGTGAAGGATGGTAGGCGAGGATGAAGTTAAAACCGCTGGCACATCGTATTACTAGTTTTTAGGAGAGACCGCGTGAGCAGGTTAGTGATGGAACCAGACCCCCATTACAGAGAATTCTCTTTTTCCAAAATTTTGAGTAGTGGATATAAAAGAAAGATTATATCTACTATGTGGTGATGCTTATGTCTCATGCATCTCAACAAACAAATATATTTTTTCTGCAAATAAAAAAAAATCCTATTGAAAAATGATATTTTCAAGAAAATTATTGCCAGTGTCACTCGGGATGATGTACCGATTTTAACGAAAATCCATACATCCAAATCTGTTTATCATTTGTTAAAGTTATTTTTGTATCTATAAATTAGGATGGAAAAAAGAAAGTTGTAGTAGTAGTAACTCTAAAAATAATACAGTTCTTTTTTAAGCAGTAAAAAAGGTTTTACCGTTTTATCATGCCCTTTTTCGTTGCACGAAATTTTATAGATTACCTAGATAAGTCCTTTTATTTATAATCGTAACATCATCAGTCACTTCTTTATTATTTTTTTCAGAAACCTAGAACGTCTTGAGATTAGACAGAAAGCAATAAATAAAAGATCTTCACTTGTCCCAGATTCGATTACCGGTCGTATTCGATTCGCATCACGGTGACTTCGCATCACATTGGATATGTTGCTTGTCGCCCTGTCACACCGCCATTTGTCAACGCTTACGACATGCGATTACATGTGTTGTCACAGATAAAGTTAAGACAGTGTGCCAACTTCAATTAATGTTTTAATATTTGGGTTTAGTTAATTATATGTAGATAGGTATCGTAACGATAAGTGATAAAATATTACAAGTATAGCTAAGCTTTTACATAATTATTTTAATTTTTTTTTGTG